AGTACCTTCGATTTCAAGGGGTTCATGCTTGAGCAAAATTTATATTTGAGAGTGAAATTAGCGAACAGAGATCTTCGTTAATGAAATTACAAGCTTCGATGATGTTTTCTTCTTGGAAAGAGAAGTAAATTTGTGTGTCGTCCGCATAGAAGTGAGAATTGCAATATTTTAGACATTTGGAAAACTCGTGAGTGTAAATTATAAAAAGCAACGGTCCGAGAATAGACCCCTGGGGAACTCCATTTCTTAATGTTAGTGTCTGAGCTTCCCAACTCTGGAAACAGGTTAATTTTTTTGCAAAGTAAAATATCCCAAAATTTTGGCGGATAGCCTTATTGAAAGTTGTTGCATTTTTCATCGAAAATATTCGAAAAATATAGTTGAAAATTCAATAAAAAAAAAACGACTAGATATTCGACGATAGACTTTTATTTAGAAAAAGAAAGGAACGATAATAACGATCACACGACAGCACGCTCTAACGAAAATACTTGATGCCGACGACGACCATGAACTTCTCGATGAACAGCTCCGAGTCGAGCACCGCGATATGGGCGGGCCCTCCCGATAAGGGCATTCGCCGTGTTGGGCAGCGCGTGATGCACGTCGTAGCGGACGAGGTTCGGGCGGCCGCCGCTTGCGCGCCCCACTATCGGCGCGAGGATGTTGCGCGCCATCTCGCGGTAGACGGCGCCCTGCTCGGTGGTGTCTTTGAGCGAGTCGCGGCACAGCTCGATCCTGGCCGAGTGCAAAGGGACGTATCTGGAATAAGGCCGATAGCATCTTTAGGGATTTATGCGTAGATTTATGACTTTTTTCTATGCTGAAAGGGCCATTACCCAGACAGCACTGGATATTCCTAGACTATTCTCTAAATATGCTAAAAGGGAAGAATATATTCCGAATATCCTTCGAATATTCTTAGAATATATACGTGCCTCTGGAACATTCAAGGAAATATTCAAATGTGGATATTCTAGTGATATTCCAAAATGAATATACAGGGTATATTCCAGAAGGTATTTTCTGAAGTGAATGTTCCTAGAATATTCCAGTTGGATAGTGCAGGGAATATTCAGGTATGAATATTCCAGGAATATTCCCAATTGAATATTCTGTTCCTGTATATTCATGGAATATTTCAATAATATTCCCATGTGTTTCAATGAAATTGTAAAGTATGAAAATTAACCAATTACAATTTTATAGATGTGAGTATTAAACATTTATTTTGAAATCTGTTGGTAGAAGTCCATCGTATTTCAAAGTGAAGTGGTTATGTTACCAGGGATCAAAAACAAAAAGTCGTCTCCACAATTTTGATAGTGATCAAAGTACTCAATCAGATCATCGTACATGTTAAGAGCCCATATGGAACTGGAAGTGTTTATGGTTCCCTTCTGAACAACGCAATTCAATAAATTGTTATGTACATTATTATTCAACTCGATTACTGGCCAAGTGGTTAAGGCGTTGATCTGACAGTCTGAAAGTCCCGAGTTCGAGCCCATCTTGGGTCAGCTTTTTTTAATTATGAATATGTATTACGGAATATTCCCGGAATATTCATTTTTTTTTTTTTTTTTTTTTTTTTTATCGATTGGAGCGCACGAAAGGGAATCCCTATAATGTTCAAAGAACATCGTGCGTTCTAAGGAGGATAGGGACAGGAGGTAGGTATGGAATTTTTTTTGAATTTTTGGAGATTATTTGTTGTTGGGATACTTCCACAGGCAATGAATTCAGAGCCTAGCCTTGTATTATTCCAGGAATATTCCGAATATTATCTGAATATTCTAGAATATTATAGGTAGGTACATTCTGAATATAAAGGTAATATTCCTTGTGTAATATTCCGGGAATATACAAAATTTTCCCCACCAGCACATTCAGGGAATATTACATAGTTGACATGTATATCCCTGGCATGTTCATGAATATTCGCAATATCCAAAAAGAATATTCTATGAATATTCATAGAATATCTGGTGCTGTCTGGGATAGGCGAATCATTTTTTTATTAGTTTAGAAATTTTAAATTTCTGATCAATTGAACAACAATGAGCACATTTTTGCATTGAATTTTAAATTCCTTGAGTATATGACTATACAGAGACATCTCTGAGATGTTGTGTGACAAAATAAAGATGAGAGATGATATGAATAATTACAGACCCATTTCTGTGCTCCCGGCTCTTCCAAAAGTTATAGGAAAAATTATGAATTATCGTCTACTTGATTTCCTGGAAGATAACAATTTGCTATACAGTGGTCAGTATGGATTCCGTAGATCGAAAGACACTGAAGTAGCCGTTATGGATGTTATTTCAAATATCCAATTACGAATCGATGAAAATGATCAATGCGGTTTATTGTCCTTAGATCTATGCAAAGTTTTTGATACTGTCAACCATAACATTTTGTTAAATAAATTATTTGCAATTGGTGTCAGAGGAAGAATTCATGATTGGTTCCAAAATCATCTATCAAATAGAAAACAATATGTTGATGTGAGTGGAAAACTTGAATTATTTGCAGATGACACGACATTGATTTATTTCTCCAAAGATTCAAATAATATAGTTCATTTGAGAAACAAACTTAATCCCATTACAGGCATTTTATTCAAAATACGAAATTTCATTTCTACCAGATGCTTGAAGAGTATTTATTTCTCTCTTATTTACTCAAAATTGCAATACCTAATATCTATATGGGGAAGTACCAATATTTCACTTTTTGAGTCCACTAATGAAATTACAAAATAAAACATTGAAGTGTATGAATGAATGAATGGACAGGAGTCCCGAGGGAAAACACAACAACACATAATTAGTATTATATCCCTCTGACATCGCAGTGACGTCTATGCAAATAGAATGCGATACCACAGGTCACAATTATTGTAACGTCGCTGCGATATCTCTGTGATGTAACTGTGATTGCTAGGATCCTCATGAGTTAACGTGATCATTTCCTATTTGAAATTCTCGAGAGAATTCAAGAGAAAAAATTAATAATAGGAATCCTGATTGGTGTAATCAAAAACTGATCAACTTCTTCGTCTATCTGCTATTTCATCAGGCTTGTTCATGAAATCAATTCGTCACAATGTCGCCATATCGGTTCAAGGAAGAATGTCTCATGCGCCGCCATTTTGGAAACAAATGTCTACTTGTGATATTTCATTGAAAACAATTATTTTTGCTCTATCGAATGGAGTAAAAATATATACAGGGTTTCATTTAAAATTCTTGACCTAAGTCAATTTCCGGTGAAACCGGAAGTGATATTCAATTGTTTTTTGCTTGGAAATATGGGTTTCAAGGAACTATATCACCATTCAGAATTTCAAAATTCTAACTTGAGACACAGCTGATCAACGATTTGTCCCATGATCTCGTTATCACCCGGTATAGCATTTTTTAAAAGATTATACGCATATTTTCATGTTCCCTTATTATATTACCTATCTTGGCCCGAACCACAGAGCAAGATATTTTTGAAATGGTGTAAGGTGCTCCGTTGACTGAGTCGATACAAAAAAGACTGCCTGGCATCCACAGAATCTTTCATACACAATTGCAGAAGCGAACCAGATTTTTTCCATTTCTGCATAAACCACATACCTGAAACAAAAATTATATTCGCAATGAATCATCATGTACTGTCTCTAGTAGATTGAAATTTAAAACCCTCCGTTAGTCTTCGTTATCAGATAGCCTGGTGCAATTGGTGAGGCTTGACGAGGCGAAACAGTATGTCTTGTCATTTATGAATCTTGTTTCTCTTACTACCACGCTCTTATTAGCTTGGCATGTCCCTTCAACAAAAATTCAAATGTTCCTTCACCAGAATGTCAAATGTCCTTTCACCAGACGTTCAAATATTCCTTCCCCAAAATTTCAAATGCTCCTTCACCATAATTGCAAATATTCGTTCACGAAAATCGCAATTGTTCCATCGCCAACATTTCAATTGCCCCTTCGCCAACATTTCAATTGCCCCTTCGCCAAAATTTCAAATGCCCCTTCGCCAACATTTTAAATGCCCCTTCATTAAAATTTCAACTGTTCGTTTTCATTCCTACGAATAACTTTTTACATCCAGAGACATTGTAGTGTCTAGCACCAAGTATACAGCCTGTCCAAGATAAGGTTGAACAGCATGGGGATCTCGGAAACGGTAGGAGATACGAAGTCGCTTGAATGGGGAAAAAGTTGCGCATTCGGAGGCTCATATCAAGAGCCTTAGAAAATTTTGAAAATTATTTTTAGTTTTTGAGTTATATCGAAAAAAGTGTATTTTTGGAATTTCTATTTTACTTTTTTTCTCCGTTATTATTAGAGATACAGCAAAACTGAGAATACTTTTTCATAGCAACTTTTGATTACGGTCAACGTGGTGATACCGATTTTTTCATGCGACGTTTCGTATTCGTGGAACCATCATCAACTTTTGTTTTTTAAATACGGTCCTGATAATTTTTTCACAGATTCTGAAAGGTTTTTTTTATTCTGAATTCAACAATGTACTATACAAGGTGATTCGAATGTGTTTTGACCTATTTCTATCCATCATCAATGTTTTTTCGAACTTTCAAAAGAAAAAAAGCCATCAGTTCCACTTATTTCTTATCATTTAGTGTCAAACTTGATGGATTAGTTATTCAATACTGAAAAGTGAATAAAAAATATTTCACTACATCATTCGATCAATGCAGCGTTTAAAATTGTTGATGAATTCTTACACGAATTACTTTAACAACTTAACTTTGACAATACCTACAGAGACATTCATGACAAATGTTCAAAATGATAACCATTATTTTCTGAACAAAGATATCCTCTTCTCACAGTTGTTTCTAAGACATTGCTAAGCATTTCTGGGGTTATTCTATTGAATGCTTCGAAGACACTGTCCCTTAGTTCTTCTTCATCCTCAAAGTTATTTGCGTGTACAAAGTTCGATATATCCCCTAAGAAAAAATCCAGCTGTGTTAAATCAGGCGACCACGCCGGCCAAGGGATAAAAACGCACGGACTTCTCTGGAATTATGTACCGGAGCGCCATCTTGTTGAAACCAACAGAGTTCTGAACTTCCGCAATCGGTAAATCATCCAGAGCTTCCTCAAGATGATTCTCAAGCGAATTTCTATAACGTTCGGAAGTCTGTGTTTCATGGTAAATAGAAGGAACAATAATTCGTGTACCAAATATTGCAACCCACATATTAAAGCCGAAACGGTGTTGGTGTCTCGCTGTAATGTATAAATGTTCATTTTCTCGTGAACAATAATGTGTATTTTTTCTATCGAAGCTACCATGATTAGTGACCATGCTTTCATCAGTCCAGATGATTGTTCGAAAGAAATCTGCAAAATTTTAACATTTCCTGGTATACCACTCACAGAATGTCTTGCGCCTTTCGTCATCGCCTGGTTTTAGCGCTTGACATATTCTGAATTTGTATGGATGGAATTTTTGTTTCCGCAAAATGAAATGGGTTGTTGATTTAAACCAGTTGATGAGGTATTAGTGTGTTGACTAATTTTCCTTCAAAATAAGTGGAACTGATGGCATTTTTCCTTTGGAGTTTCGAAATAACATTGATGATGGATGGAAATAGGTCGAAACACTAATGAACCACCTTGTATAATACATGGTTGAATTCAGAATAAAAAAACCTTTCAGAATCTGTGAAAAAATTATCAGGACCGTATTTAAAAAACAAAAGTTGATGATGGTTCCACGAATACGAAACGTCGCATGAAAAAATCGGTATCACCACGTTGACCGTCATCAAAAGTTGCTATGGAAAAGTATTCTCAGTTTTGCTGTATCTCTAATAATAACGGAGAAAAAAAATAAAATAGAAATTCCAAAAATTCACTTTTTTCGATATAACTCAAAAACTAAAAATAATTTTCAAAATTTTCGAAGGCTCTTGATATGAGCCTCCGAATGCGCAACTTTTTTCCCATTTAAGCGACTTTGTATCTCCTACCGTTTCCGAGATCCCCATGCTGTTCAACCTTATCTTGGACAGACTGTATACTCGTGTGAATAGTCTCAACCAGAGATTCGAGTGATTTTGAATTACTTCTGCTACTATATTTATCAAGGACCATTATTATCCTGAAAGTATTTATTCTACTTCGATCGTATTTTGACTATACTGTTACCACGACGCTTCTTAGGGAATTTTTATCTACTCTTTAGTTTCGCTATCAATAAAAGTGTGCTCTCTTTAGGTTTATTTTTGTATTTTCTTACCCATGTTGACCAATCCGCTGCTGTTGTAGAGCGTCCCTAAGTGCGGCCCTGATAGCGATAGGAATGTGTGCAGTCTCGGCAGCAAAAATTTCATTTGGGGCCTTGTCAAGGCAGATCTGATTATGATGTTGCCTAGCGAGTGTCCGACGAAGCTGATCCTAGTAGGTCTTATGCTGCTGATATCCAAATAGTGCAGTATTTCGCTGATCAACCTTGAAAAAAATGTTTCTAGATTTTTTGGATCACATTCTTGTGAGTCTAGTAGTGGATTCTTTATTGATTATGGAATTTTAGAAGGATATTTGAGATTATAGAGTCTGATGCTAACTATAATATTCCAAATATTAGATGAAAAATGTTCATGAGCCTATAGTATAGGAGGTCTCTACTACGTGACAAGGGACATCTGCCTATTTTACGGAATATAAAACTTGAGCCAATTCAGATTCGTAATATAATATAAGAAGTATAGGTTTGTGTACTAGGTGCTTTCAAAATTGGAGCGATACATTACATTTACTGTTGTGTGATACCTAATGACACAATAATTGATTGCATTTTTTTTTGACACCATACCACCCCTTCAAACTCATTTCGAACGTTTGACAACATAGCAGTTTATGGTCCCGCCGAAAGCAAACGTCCAGGTTCAGCTGGTATATTCTCTTCAATCTTCAATCAATGATGTTAAGAAATTCTTGACTTTCAAAATTCAATATCTTCAATTTTTTCTTGTTATTCTATCTTCTTTATAACCTATTTCATCTATCGTTTTAATTTTGAAAACACCCAGTATAAACCGGCAACATATCTCTTTTGGACTCGAAAACCATTGTCAAAAAGGTTACGGTTGACAGTATCTACCTTTTTTTCCTTATTCCAACTCATTTTCTGCGAGAAAATCATAGGGTATTGTAATTCAATGTGTATACAGGGTGTTTCAGATTTTAATTAGGATAGGCTATCTAGAAGATCAAATAAACTTGTATGTTTTGGAGCTTAATTATCGTCATAAAGGATGTTGAGGTTAGAAATATTCGCTTTTCTCCATTATCGCCCTGTATAAGCTTTCGTAATGGTAACATTCAGTGTGGTCTGTGACTGAAATATACTCAACAACATATAATCTCCAGAAGTTCAAAAAAAATTCCAATACCTACCTCTTGTCCCTATCCTCCCTAGGAACGCACGATGTTCTTTGAACATTATAGGGATTCCCTTTCGTCCGCTCCAAGCGATAAAAAAAGTGATCTCTCAATGAATGTCTCGAATGATCATATAGTGACACGACATAGTTTCAATTTTTGAAATTTGATAATTTCTCTGATTTCTCATCGAAATTTTTTCTGCAATAGGAACTAATAGAAATACTCGTGAAATTTCTAAAATAATGCACTTGAAAAATCATATTCCTTCATCTATCGCTGCCTTTCTTGTGCATTGTACAACAGCACAATGCGAAGGCATGCTTGAATCAATGAATAGCGCAAAAAACACGATTCGTATGCCAAAATATTGTGAAAAACTATTTCAATCTTTTGATTCCTCTGTAAACAAATGAAAAAAGTGAGGTTGTGTCTCAATGTTTCACAGAAGAGTGAGGTTGTGCTGCTTCCCTTCTAAGGTACGCAAATGTGTGATTGCCAGGGTCGTTGTTGATGGTTTTTTTCGTGACAAAAACTTCTCATTATGATATAAAAATAAATCATTTCATATAATTTCAATTTTTGGTCTAATTTTATGATAGCTCTCATGTGCCACAAAATTTCCACCTAATAATTTCACTTCTACAAGCTCATTTGGATGGAAAATTTCCACAACATTTGCTGGTTACCATAGTAACAATGTCGAAATAAAGCATTGATGGGTTGAAAATGACTGGTATGAAATTTTCTTATCGAATTACATTAAACTTGAAAAACTTTCGGAAAAAGACAATTTTTTCGTGTTCATTCCCAACAAAATTTTCATGGAAATGTCAAGTTACCATCGACAAAGGAAAGCTCTCGTGTGAAAAAATGGCTCACCGATCAGTCATAGTTTCGAAGTCGCTGAACGTGTCGCCTTGATTCCGCTCCGACATGAGGAAATCGAGATACGCCCCTGGCAGGCCCAACTCGAGATAGGTCTTGACCAGACGTAAGTCGGCGCTGTTGCCGTCCAGGCCGTGCACACACACCACCAGGTGCATGCCTTCGGGCGAGAATATCCGGAATTCGTCGCTGATGTGGAAATATGGCACCGTCGACGCGAATCTGTCCATGTCCGAGTAGAGCAGGCCGTGGAAGTTCAATTGGCTTTTGAATTGCTTTTTGGCTTTGAGAAAGGTGGCGAGATCGTCGGCGTCGGTTTTACGATTATCGTGTTCTGGAAACAATAGAAGATTGTTTTATTAGGATCAAGAGTGACACTTTGTTTGACAAGCTTGTCAAACAAAGTGTCACTCTTGATCTGAATGAAACATGCTATTTTCTCTGCAACCGAAACAATTAACTCAAATAAACATGTGAAGTAACCACCAATACCGTGCCATATGTATGCAATGCAACAAATCAAAATCAATGCAAAATCCGTGTGGTGAGAATATTTTATCTGCATTAACAGCAGGTTTATTCAATTTTCAAGGATGTTCGAATTGTAGTTTCAATATAAATACAACCACAGACTGACATATTTGTGTATGGACCACGTGCTCTAATGGCAAATACCGCGCTAGTGCCAGCTGGTATATAGGAACAAGATGTGGAAAATGTTAGGTTAGTGAGCATATCAACAATAATAATAGCGAGAATGTATTCCTCTCCATACTATACTGTGTTTGACTTGACAATCAGATATTCAGATAAAGGTAAACAATATCGTTGTTTGAGACAAAAACTATTGCTTACCGTGATTAATCTGATAAAATAAGTTATCTATCCCGAGAATAACGAATGAAATACATATCAAGCAAGTATGTGAATCTTGAAGGCTTTCCTGATCAAAACAAAAATACTTAACTGAGATGTTTATAATTCCAATACTAAACTATAATAAGGTGTATTCATATCTCCAGCAAGGGTAATAAATGCCAAATCTGCTGAAATCGGAAACAAATCAGGAATGCGTCTCAGCCCAAATAACCAACCGTCACAATGTTGTTAATTCTTGATGACGCCCAGTACATCCTTTTTAGTTCCTAGGAGCTAAAGTTCAACTTTAGCTCCTAGGAACTAAAATTCAACTTTAGCTCCTAGGAACTAAATATGTTGCCTAGCAACATACCTATTTTTGTGTCAATTTGAGAGCTAATTTTGGTATCAAAATGGACGACTTTTGTGTCGGTTGCAGAAAAAAGTTTTTTTTTCTCACCTTCAGTCCGGTTCGTTGATTTCTGATCTCTCCTAGGCTCTCGCTCGAGCATGGTCCTGGTGTCGACCACGTGGTACAAGAGGTTGTCCACCGCGTTGATTTCCTCCTCTCCCCCCTCCTCCTCCTCCTCCTCGTCGTTGGTCGCAGAACTGGAGGGAGACTCCTCCAATTCCAGGTCCCTGAACTGTTTGGGCGGGGGTAGTGCGAACTCCTCGCATACGCTACTTTGATTAAATTCACAGCCTTGAAACAATTAGGAATATGGCTTTTTAGTAATGCTATGTTTATACAGGGGGTCCAGATTTTTGTGCATTGATAAAGAGGGGCGATAGAGATTCGGAAAATAAGAGAACTTCGTTAAATACTGTCTGTAGGTTAATCGAGGAGTTGGTACATTCATTAATCCAGATTTTTTGGGATTTTCTCTCCTCGTTTCTATAAAATAAAAATATGAATATCATTTCAATATACGTGTAGTAAGGCCAAATCAGATGATTTGCCCCAAAATGTCACTGCGTTTAAAGAATTTTCCTATCAGAGAGCCTAAAAGAAAAATTCACTAGCTTGTCAGTGACAATTTGTATTGAAAAAGGTTTGGAGAAGAGAAATGAAGGAATATAGAAAAAATATCACATTTTCACTTAGCTTTGGACTGAAGAGTGTCAAATACGAATTTGCTATTCAACTATCCATTTTTTATGTTGAAAACGGGAGCAGATTCGTTCCCGAAACGTCCAAAGAGAGTATAAAGGCACGCAAAATAAAGGAACTCTTCCAATACTGAACAAACCTCCAAGAATTCACCATGATTAATCAAGAGAAGTGATTGGAATTCGCAAAATGAGAGACTCTGTCTTGTTCATGAAGATACGCACCAGAATTCATTATAGTTTATTAAGAGAGGCGATAGAGACTCACAAAATAAAGGAACTCTTCCTATAATGAACATACCCCCAAGAATTCATCATTCATATTTAATCAAGAGAAGTGATTGATATTCGCAAAATGAGAGACTCATCCTTGGTTAAGAATTCACCATAGTTTATTAAGAGAGGCGATAGACACTCGCAAAATGAAGGAACTCTTATCAACATACCTCCAAGAATAATTCACCATAATTGATTCAAGAGAGGTGATATAGAGACCCGCAAACAAAGAGAACTCCTTTTATGAACATACCTCTAAAAATCCACATGACTAGAATTCAGGGTGTTGAAGTTTTATTGAAAAAATCGATTATTTTGCGAGTCTTCATTACTCATCAAAATAAATTCACAAAAATCTGGAACAACTTGTAAAAAAGTTTAAATTAACCAGTTTTAGTATTTCTTTGTAGGGTTCTTTTTTAAAATTTTCATTGCATTCAATAATTGATATTCGAATTTTCCTTGTATTCAATTCTCATTCATATCTGAAACTATATAAAGTAAATCAAAAAGGAATGAAAGTGAAACGGGCTCAGCAACATTAACTAGAGCAAAGTGATATATTAGAAAACCATAGAACATTAAGAAAAACTAGGTCGATCTATTTTTCTGATGGGGAAAGAAACGTTTGCATATAACAATACATATAACATACCAAAAAATTGGAATTACCTTTGATGAAAGAAGAAAGTCCCTGTTGTTTTTGATATAATATGCTAGTGCCGTTATTCGAACTATCGCTACCTACAATACGCTTATTTGATTTTTTCTTTGATACTTTTGTTGCTCGATCTCTTTTGCTCTTGCTCTTCTTGCCATCTGAATTGGTGTACAGCTTTTTCTGGACGATTTCGATGTTCATTATGGCACCTCTCGTCGGGTTGATTAAATCTATACCGGATTCTGAAAAAAAAGACCTACATATTTTTGGCGGAAGTATTCCGAATAAGGTATCCGTTTTAAGTACCTACCATCGTAGGTACAGGGTGATTATTGACGACGATTCTTAAGTTTTTTACAGGGTTGGTCATGAAAACATATCCCCAAAACGCCAACTGTGCCTGAGCAAATATTGCCGAAATTATTTATAAATAATTAAAAACTAGGTGCGTTTCTTTCAATATCTACCTTTTCCTCCCGGACACATAAAAAAAAAATCACTAGATGTGCATTTCAATGAGTACAACCAAACAAACTCACTGTGCCGTGTCCGATCCTGCCGAAACCCATTTTTTTTATGTTCTGGTTCCCACGAAAAGGGATATCCTGTAATGTTCAGAGAACATCGTGGGAACCCAGGGATAATGTAGGTGCTGCACTCCAAATATGGGAACAGTATTCCAGGACAGGTTGGATCTGTGCCTTATAGATCATAAGTAGCTGACTGGAACTGAAATAGCTCCTGGCCCGAAACAGAAATCCAAGTTATTGGGATGCACTTTTAGCAATTGATCTCACGTGATTTTCCCAAGAAAGGTTATTGATGATAGTAATACTAAGCATCGAAATGGATGTCTTCAAAAATATAGTTACTCCTGAAAAGCTCATGTTGGGCACAGTGAGATCGGCTTTTCTAGAGGAAAGGCATGCTTGTGTTTTGTTTTGCATTGAAATCTACCAAGTTATTGGATCCCTATATATTCGAGAATTATTAAGTCCATATTTATGTTGCCAAAATTTCTTCCTCGTTCGTTTGTGAGTTGCCTGGCACAGTGGCGCTACAGGGGGTAGCAAAAACGAGTTAACTACCTTTTCGCTCCTGACCAAAAAAACCATTAACATTTCTCCTCAGACACGATTCGTCAAAATAAATCATTCCAGTTGGTTTTGGAAGAAACTAGTAGGGTACATCATTCTCAGGTGGATGATTGTCTGATTGACAAAAAATATGTCATTGTTCACTGAAACCGTATACAGAGTGAACTCTTTGATAGCTGGCAACATTTCAAAAGTAAGGTTCTGGATTTTTTCAATTCTGTATACGTAAGTCTATTGGTTTTGAAGTGCCTAATGTTCCATGGAAAAATGAAATGAATCAAGTTCAAATATTTTTTCGCTCAATTATATAAATCACCCTGTTTATTATTGTAGAAGAGGAGGAAAACTCCAGATGGCCATTTGATATTCCCCTCAGGGGCCTCTGTTCGTGGTAAGAGTATGTTCAGTAGGTACCTCATGACTCACCCTGTATACGAAATAAATATTTTTTTCACCTGGTTGATTTGATCATTAATAGACCCTCATTTTTTTGTATCTCAAAGTAGGGGGTGCCATTTGAGATTTCAAAGTAGGGGTGTCTGGGGATGAAGGGGATGAACATAGAATTCGATTGATACTGGCATTTTACTTCTCCCTCGATATCTAAATCGACCTGTTTTTTCCGAAATCTGTAATCTTCGCATATCAAAAGATATGCTGGGTGGTGAGTTTTGAAATGAAAGCCCTGTATAATAAAAATAACAAGGGATCAAGTACAGAGCCTTGCGGAATTCCATGTTTCACAGCTAATTGCTTTGAGGCTTCGTTGTGAAGAAGAGAATATAAGTCAATATGCTGGCTGAACTCACCGATAGAACTACTTTTCGAAGACAACCATCCACTTTGTTCAGTGGTGGAAGAACTGGAGGAACAATAAAACTTCAAATTCGGATACAGTCTTTCTTCGAACTTGGCTACCACTATGTTCGGCAACGATTCCGTGCCAGACACTATCATGGGGTAGCGCTCTTCTGTCAGGCATGGAGTGCTGCGGACCCTTCTCACGTTGCTACGACTACATAAGGCTCCATCGTTTGACCCTGTCTCGAATTTTTTGAGAGATATGCTCTCCGTTGAACTGCTCAAAGAACTGAACTCTGATCGTTTGCCGTTTGAAATTGACCTGGAATATTTCTTTGAAATATACAGGGTGTTCCATGATTGGATGTCAATGTTCGAGGAGGCGATTCTTGGGCCCATTCAAAGAAGAAAGTTTCGTATGAACATATGACCTAAACGTTCTAACTTTTGAGATACAGGGTGCTAAAGTTCTCAAAAATTGTAATATAACTCCAGAAATCCTGATGAAATTTGAGATACATGTACTATGTATCAAGAGGCATCAGTTAGTGTACCACATTTATTTTGGTTGCCACCACTGGTGTTCGTATGGAATTTCACATACCTATTTTGTCAGACATTGATGGTACGCCACTGATTAATCTCGAAATTGAAATCATTCCTGAAATTCCCAATCATTCCTTAGCAAAATTTGATCACTACGATTTTTTCAATCTGATGCACGGTTTCCGCTTAAAAAAATAAATAACTTCTCACTAAATGTTCCTAATAATATCGTTAATATGACAATATCACAGAGAAGTAGTTTTTATTTGTTTGGTGGAAACAGTAATACATAATTCCAAAATACCAAATACGAAGTTCATGAACTATAACTTGTTTTTCTGAAATTTGATCTAAAAAATAAAATGTATTTCTTTGCATTGTGATATTGTCATATTGACGATATTATGATAATCATGTAGTGAAAAGCTTTTTATTTTTTTAAGCGAAAACCGTGCATCTGATTGAAAAAATTGTAGTGATCGAATTTGCTTAGAAATGATTGGGAATTTCAGGAATTTCGTGATTAATCAGTGGCGTACCATCAATGTCTGCAAAAATAGGTATGTGAAATTCCATATGAACGCCACTGGTGGCAACCAAAATAAATGTGGTACACCAACTGATGCCTCTTGATATATAGTACATGTATGTCGAATTTCATCAAGATATCTGGAGTGCTATTACATATATTAATAAAACACTATTGAATTTTTTAGAATTTTACCACCCTGTATCTCAAAAGTTAGGACGTTTAGGTAATACGTTCATATGAAACTTTCTTCTTAGAATGCGCCCAAGAATCGCTTCCTCAAATATTGCCATTTAATTATGAAACACCCTGTATATCGGATTAGTTTTCCTGCTATACCGGGTGAATCAATTTTTTACCGATAAGTATATTTCAGAAATTCTTCCAATTCAGACCAATACTATACTTCCTTTCTTGACTATACTTTATTGGACATTTCTACAGTGGCAAAAATTTTACAGAGTAGCACCGGTAAAACGTATGACACAATTCTTTTGGATACATTTTCAATTGGATTCGTATAATTTGAGTTGCTGTTTCATATTCACATATGGATACTTGCCAAAAATTCTCCAAAATATTTGCAGTGATATTTGTTATGTATTATTGCTTGCTAAAAACCCGTATTGGCCTGATGCACTTCAATGCCCTGTAGCTTCTCAACAATATTTCTTAATAATCTATCGTTCATTTAATTTTTCTCCAAGGAGTTTTCTGAAAAAGCTATTCCTTCTCGAAGAATTGAAAAATATATGTGTATCGTATAGTACCTATAACTATACCTGTACCAGGTATCTACTAATTTATTAGACAAGCGATAAAAAAAGATCAGGTGTATCAAAATGGGATTTGATATATAGGAATTGAATTGACACCTGATAATCTAGAAGGTAAGGTATATTCGTTAGACCCGTTATATCTATTTAATGAGCCACTGTTGATAGTGTTTTAAATAGTACCTCTAACTAACTTGATTCATGTATACTCAGCATTCAATGTGATATATCTGAAAGAAGATCTATACATTTATAATACGTCAGATCTACAGTTTCATCAAATGAAAGACTCACCCTGTATATTTCCTCGATTCCCTTCGCCCGATCGATTCTTTATGCCCATTGGTCCGATTCTTCCGCATCACCACCGAATCGAACCCGTTTTGTATGAATCCCTGTTCCGATTTCGACCTGAAAATATCTGTGGAACTGCCAGAAGCAGCGTGGCTCACCGACTTCACCACCATCATCGTCTGATATTTTTGCTGAACAATCGGAGCCCTCTCGATGGTTTCTTGTTCGGTGACACCATTCCTCGCACTTTTCATCGATTTGATTGGATATTTTGAAGGACAACTGCACTTGCTCGTCGAAGCATATTTTTTGTCGCCCCTGTCGAAGTGTTTTGCGTTTCCGATGTTGTGATCGCTTTTGACGTTCTTCAGCGTGCCGTTTTTCTCGTAGACCGTCGGTTTTTCTTTAGCTTTCCCGCCTCTGGCTCTTATGTTGCTCAAGGAATGGTGCAAAGTGTCGTTGGAAAATGTTTGCAGCTGATCCAGCGATTTGCTGTGCCTGCTAGGAATGGTGAATTTTCTTTGATCCGTTTTTTCGTAGGAGTCGGGGTCGTGTGTAGAAATGGTTTCGCAGGTTTTCCTGCCGGTTTCCCAGAGTTTTCCGATCCCGCAGGAACAGGTCTCGTCCAGGTCGATGGTTTTGGTTGGTTTCGCCCATAAGTCTGAACAAAAAATAAATAAATTAACGGTTGCAACGACGATGACACGTGACCGAGCGACCTGCAAGCAGGCTTCCCCGCAAGCTGATGATTTCATTCAATATACAGGCCGGTTGAGTTTAATAGCCATACAAAACTTACAGGGTGTCCCACGGTTAGACCTCCCCACTTTAATTGGGGCCCGGCAAACATATGCGACAGGTAACGACTAACAGCTCTGTGCTTCATCAGAGAAAGTATTCCGGCTAGCCCACGAAATATGTCAAACAACTCTCTACCAGAACCCATAATGTGAGTGATCATCTCGAAGTCTACACACGTTCACTTGAATCTTCTGGTAACGCAGATAATGTTTGTCTGCTGCAGGTTCTCTTGTCACAGAAAAACGCTGCGAAAATGTCACGGAAATGTCACAGAAATGTCACGGAAACGCTACGGAAATGTCACAAAAGTCACGGAAGTGTTACGGCATACGGAAACGTTATGGAACATAGAAACGTCATGGAAATGTCACGGTAACGTCACGGAACACAGGAACGTCACTGAAACATTGTTGGATTGTAACGGAAACGAAAATGTCAGACATATTTTGTTATACCTGCCTCTTCTAATTCATTCAAGATAACATCAATCTCGTTATCGTTTTAGGTGATTTTCGACATATCAGACAAATATCGAACAACTCGTATTCAAAACTCATAAAACAGCTGTAGGTTTCACCAATGGGATTAAATCAAATTCAATTTAGAAAATTGGCTTTTATGGAGCTTCCCGCCGTGCATCGTGTAATTTCCGTAGAATCTAGAGAAAAATGACTTAGAATTTTGAAAAAGTGTCTAGAATCGGTATAGCTGATTTACTCTGCATTTTACTCGTTTTTGCCACACACTAATTGAACATAATCATGGAACAAGACAATCAAATTTACTAATAGCAAATACGTTCAAGTCAAATATCGCCAAACAATCCATTTTTCACACAGGAATCGTTCTATACAACTCATTACCAAGTCAATTGAGGAATATACAGGAAGCATCAACTAGATTCAAAATTAACTTGAAAAAATATCTACTTCAGAGACTTTGATGATTCCATTTCTTATTTGAATACCTACTTACTTATGAAAGACAAGGTTGATATTGCATTTTTTTTAACTTGTTATATCTTATTATGATTTCATAATTGTATGTATAACATTATGTATATTGTTTATGTATCCCTATTATAAACAACTATGTTTCTTGGGGTAATAAAGACAATCAATCAATCAATCAATCAATCAATATTCTGAGCCTGTCGCATCTTTGTCGTTCTGCCAGCCTACGATAAATTCTTGGCTTCTGGAAAATTTTCTATTGCTCAACATAATGTTTCAAGCATTTCTCCGACACGATTGGTCACCATTATCCCAATAAACATTTCTTTCAATCGACATTCTTAAAAAAACGTATTGTTACTAGAGCTACTTATTGTTTATATAGTTTTACTAGGAGGTATAAACACAGATTTTTGATTATGTTACTCAAAATGTTCGTCTTTATCAACAATATCTCACGCGATTTTTTTTACAATCGACGACTGGAGCAAATGAAATGAATTAGTAAAAACAGTATTACTTATATTCAGTTCATTTTTCCTCAACTAGTTGCAATAATTATTTGTAAATGGAAAAAATGAATACTTTTGGCTCAACTAACAAAGAGAGGCGAACTATAGCCCCAAATATTGCGTTTCCAAAGTGTGATAAATGTACAAAATTTCAATTCATTATATCGGAAATTGTTGGAGGAAATTGGAAAAACACAAAAAAATCTCAACTTCGAAACCCTAGTCATCGGAAAAGAGACTCTCACGCATATATGTTTACATAAAGGTCATGCTACACAAAACTGACCCACCTTGTAAAGTGGTGACATAATATAAATGCATCAATGTTCTGATGAAATTGGTGAACAATAGTATGCACTAGAGTCACTGGATGGTATTAGTTGTGTACACTATACTTTTCCTACGGCTGTAACAGCTAATTTTTCTATTTCTTCGGCTTTCGTAATCATTGATTTTCTCCTAAGTAATAATCTATTGGACAGAGCTGTCATTGCTTGAAATTTAACATTCCATTGATTCATCGGACACAGTAAAACAATTGCAATTTTGGGTTATAGCCGTAAATAGTTATTTGTTTAACTAGGCAGCAAAGTAGTAGATTAACTGCCGAGGCTGAATTCATAGCCGAGCGTAGCGAGGCTAGGATTTCAGCTAAGGCAGTCAATCTACTTTGCTGCCGAATTGAACATATAATTTTTTCTCCGATTGTTCATGATGATATAGGAGGATATTGTATTTGCAAATTATTACAAGTCTCACAATCTCTTTATTTTTCCTGTAGTGTTCAATTAAAATGAAATTTGATAGAAATCGCAGTTGTTGGAATGGTTGGTTGCTATCGAAATGTCCATAATAATTATAGTTTGACAATTCATGAAATTTCTGATAGTTGTGCGAAAAAACATCGGTATATTTAAATTATTATATAATGCACAGTGATAGCGACCTGGCAGTACTTACTCCTCCAGAAATAAGGGAGGTGGCAAAAAATATAGAGTTGAATTTGTTGCCGGAGAAGTCTCGGATGAAATATGAAGGAAATTATAAACAATTGATGGATTATTAATTTTGCTGACCCATATCAATCAGCAAAGTAACCATTTTGCTGCCTAGGCAGGAAAAGTAATACTTTGCTGATTGATATGTGTCAGCAAAATTAATATTTGCTGCCAATCGGAGAAAAAAAAAGTTTTTCGTATCGCCCATACCTATATACTGTCTTACCTATATCTCGTTTTAACTTCAAATTGATATCCTTGTTGGAGTGCTCTGATGCGAATTCGAAAGGATCTTGATAATGGTCTTCAAAAATCACAGGCATAGTGGCACTTTCACCATCTAGGGCAGTACAGTGGACAGGTAGTGGGGGTAACATCTGCATATATTTTGATCTGACAACAGAAAAAAGGAAATATTATAATGAAGAAGTAAAAAAACACACATTATGCACGAGCGGGCGTAAATTAGCACTTTACCGCCAGATATTGAGTGCCTGAAGTGGTACTTTAGCGCCCGCAGTCATTATAGTTTTGTGAAACTGAAATATGAAACTATGTCACTATGAAAGCACTTCTATGACAAGTCGTTATTGATTAATACCTACTAGATTCGAATGCCATTCCTGCGAATCTGGCATCAGAATAGTGAATTCGGGATAATTAAAACAGAGGTATGTTTTTATTGACTAGAAGTAAAACACACACTTCACGCCATGAAAAAGATTAATAATGGTAAAAATGAGATATCTGTGATGAAATAAATTGACAGCAAATCTATACTTCTTTACTAATATTATAAAGAGGGAAGATTGGTTTATTTCTTTGTTTGTATTGAATAGGTACCGAAACAACTGGACCAATTTGACTAAAATTCGTGGGGAGGTAGCTTAGCACCAGGAGATAGACATAGGATATATTATTTATCCCAGTAGAAATTCAAGATGGTGGATCCAATATGGCGGATTTTGTGATTATGATCCGATTCTAATCGAAATTGGTATCTGGGAGTTTTCAGGGTTGGAGATTATGACTATTCCATCAAAAGTTGGGAATTCACATTGGCGAATCCATTATGGCGGACGGGTTTTGTAACTATGGTCCAATTCTATTCAAAATTGGTATCTGGGAGTTTTACAGCCAGAGATTATGATTCCTTCGTGAAAATTTGAAAATACAGGATGGCGGATTAAATGTGGTGGAATAGTTTTATTATAGTCCGCTTCAATTCAAAATTGGTATCTAGAGATTTTTGGGATCAGGGATTCGTGAAAATCAGGAAATCCAAGATGACGGATCCAATATGGCGGACGAGTTTTGTAATTGTGATTCGATTTTATTCAAAATTGGTATCTGTCAGTTTTCGGGGTCGGAGATTATGATTCTTTCGCCAAAATAAGGAATAAAAGTAAGTATTAATATATAATATATAAGCACAAAAACTTGAAGAAAATAACAAAAAAAAAATGTAGGTACTGTAGATACGTGCTTAGCTCAGAACAACTACAACAAATGTATTATTTCCTTCGAATCCCGGACAGCTGGTAACTTAGATCATACAGGTAATAGTATAGGCCGATTTAAAAAAGATTTAACCATGATAACGTTGATTCCATCAATGATATTCTTTACTGCTGACTGCAGTCATGATATATTTCAATCGTTCTTGAGAGGTGAAAAGGTATTCATAATGAAAAATAGAATAATCAATATTACCGGTCATGCATAAAATGTTGTATGTGTTAGTAGCCCTTGTTACTGCTCGGGATCTTACTCACACGCTACTGTCCATAAAAGCATATTTTATGCCCTTGATAGATAATAACTATTAAAGGCCCCTCGATGGTGTTCGTGATATTTTACCTTCTGGCAACTTCAGCTATGACAAGATAATTTTGATAGTTGGTGTCGGAACAGCCGTACGCCATTTTCCGAGGATTGTAGATCAGAAAAAACAGCTCAGCGAATCTCCTGACTCTCAAGTCATGGTGTTTCCGGCTGAGGTGTTGCTGGATGGCTATTTTGCAACTGAACGTCAGCAAAAAGTAATTCCACAGCTTTATGTTCTCCGCGCAGACATCAGCGAGCTCGGAGTTTTGTTTGTAAGGCCGTTTCTTCATCAGCTGAAAATAACAAAACACAGATTTTTTCACCTGTATCATCTTTTTCTCTCATAATATACTACTCAAAAGTATCTACTTAGTCGAGCAAAAAAACGGATCACATTTTCTTGGCCTACTGCGATCACAGAAACTCCAGCAGAATTAAAGAAAACGGATTAGGCATTTTTACACAAAAATTTTGATAATGGCAAATGGCAATCGATTCGGATTAGGCACAAATACTTCTATAGCAATTTTCAAAACAATATCTCATAAGGGGTGGTTTTAGCAACGTGACAATTTTGAATATTTATATTTTTTTAATCAACCACGCAAGATGGAAGTCAGGATTAGATCATCTGTCTACAAATCGTTATATGCATTCAAAAGTACAGTGATGGGGAGAATCAAATTGTAACACACTGTACAAGCCGATCAGATAGTGACAGTTGACGAAAAAAAAACCAATAGTTTTGAAACTAGTACTTATTTATAGTTTTGATAAATAAGTGCGACAAATTTGTGAGATGATTCCTTCATATTTTAGGGAAAATGATCAAATTATATATGAACATAACACTCATACTTCCTTGTTTTTGTTTTCAGTGACTGGTTATAGGTATAAGACGTGTTATATATATTTTTTTCGATGTATTGTTTGTGATATTAATTTATAAGTATAAAAAATCAAATTATATGTGATTTATAATATGTATGCGACAATGTATCAGTAAGTAGAGTACTGCCCTTGATGTACTGCAGAATGTCCCTTTATGAACTTGTGCTAGTTTTCTGAGATTATTAAAGAAAATAAAGCCTGTATATGTATGTTACTAGATTGTCTGAACTCAAAAATGAAAGGCCTATCGAACCGTGTGAAAAAACATTCAGGTTTTCATTTGAAATTAGGGAGTTGATTCCGACTTTTGGCACACCGTGTATGGTTGGAGGGGTAAAAATATCTCGGGTTGATTGATTGTAGAACAACGATACATCAACAGAAGTAGATTACAGAGATCCCTCTGAGAAAAAAATCTCAAGATTTTGGAAGAAAATCTCAATTCTGAGACACAAACTCGAAATTTTGAGGAAAATTGTTGGAAAATTCTAGATTCTGAAAAAACAACTGTTCACTATTGCCCTAATACGCTATCTCAAAATCGAGATTCCAGGGGCGTACACATTTTTTTCTGAAGGGGTAAAGTAGTGATCGTTGCAGTGTTCTCATCTTTTCGAATTTCTCACCTTCGTGCTGTCATATTCGTTATGTTTGACGATGAGAGTATCGTAATTTTCGGAGACGGACTCTTCTCTCTCTTGCATCAGCTTCTTGTATTGCCTAATGGTCGATTTGAGGTTATTGCTCGAGTCCAGAAGAACTTTGTAGGCCTCTAAGTGTACTTGCGGCGATTCGTCTAGTCTGCTATAAATCTTATTGGTACTCACTGGTAGGACGGTATCAGTTAGAGAAGAACATTGGGCCGATTTGGTTTTGCTCCAAGATTTCGAACTTTTCGGGGCACTAGAAAAATTTTTGTAAATATCTTGGACACATGTAATAATTGAGATCAACAATAATTTTCAGCGGTTTGAATTGGTATACTCACCAACTTTGCATGTAGCGAAGTAGCCCCTTTCTGTTAAAGAAGAAACATAATAGTTATTTATACACCAGGATAGTAAATAATAATATTATCTCCCAGGGATCAAGATTATATCCGGAGGCTTCAGCCGAAAGGTATATACAGGGTGGCAATGAAATAAGTGCAAATATTTCAAACACTGAGAAAGCTCGACGTGTACTATCGAAGGGCACATAAAAAAATTAGGGATCAAAATAAAATTTGAGGTTGGACTCTTTTTTCCACCCAAAGTTCTACACTGTAGGAATGACCTCTGTTCAAATTATGCGGTAGACACAATCATGCGGCGTTCAATCATTTAAATTGTTTTAAAATGGCGTTCTTGATTTTTTTCTCGTATTTTGTTCAATTTTGGGGATGGAATTTCTGGTTAATTAGAAGAATTAGAAAAAATCTGATATCATGGGAATATTCCTTATACTGTATCATATTAATGTGCTGCATATGTGCACTTATTTCAAGAACACTTTGTATATAGCACCATGATACGACAATTAGTTATTGATAAATATTCACTAAATTCGAGTGCCATTCCTGCAAATCTCGCATCAGGGCTGTGAATTCGGGTTATTTATGAGGTGGCTAGTATGTCTTTATTGACTATGATATAGGTAGTTAATAAAATAACGAAAGCTACCTTGGTAGAAAAAACACAATTTTCGCATATAAAATGGATTAAATAATGGTATGTTCGATAACTAACAATAATTATATTGACATACTGGTGATTTTTAGGAAAATTAGTAAGATTCACTATTGGGATTATATTGAATGTGGGCATGATGATGAGGGATTGAAAGTTATCTTCAATTCCCTGAAGTGCAAGAATAGTAAATTGTATCACAAGGGTGGAAAATGAGCTTTAGCAGCCCGCGGCTTTTATTTCACTGATTTTCCTGCAATTTCTAGTAGACTAGAGGGCAATGGCATACATAATTTGGCCAAATGAACTCAAAATCATCAATAAATTCCATTTTGACCGTAAATAAATAGCTAAAAGAGTCGTGCATAAAATGTTGTATGTATGTATTTATGGACCTAGACGTGTCATTACACGATGTAGTCAATAAAATACTACTTTACGCCCTTGATATTTAAAGAACTATTGTGTCAGACGTCAAAATACGCAAGAGACAGTCAAAGGTGTCTAGTTAGAAACTACAAAATCGTGTTTTTATGAGTTTAGCAGCTCAAGGGACGATATTCATTACTTTCGGCATCATTTTTTAAGTTGGTATGATTTATTTTCATATATGGTAGAGGCAAAAAAATATATTTCAGTTATACAGACTTGAATTTTCACGATGAAATATGTGGAAAAGATATATCGATAGGGTGTTAGAGATTATAGTTCACAGACGGAATGCGATATCCAGATTATTTTAAAGGGGGTTTATTGGGATCGTTGATTACCACTAAGGTGTCATATCTATGTCCGGGACTGAAATATAATATGGGAAACATTTGAACAGTAGAAGTCAGGGAAATTTTGTTTCTTTTTGGACGAGTAGATATGATTCCAGGACGATTTATGGGATGAACTCGTCTCATTCCTAACGGAAAAAATTGCCAATTGGTGATTTTGCGAAAAAAAATCGACAAATATACCGCAAGTATATAGTATATCTATCAACGATATTGAAACTTCACTTTAACACCTCATATATCGATCCGTTGAGGAACATATTATAACTCATCTATATCCAAAATCGTCTAGTTGAGTTGGTACAAGGTGTTGAAGTTTTTTTGGAAAAAAATAATTTTGTTCATAAAAAGAATAGGCTGAGATCGATCTTCATAATTTTTGGCATGGCATGTTCTGTGACTGTGAGTCACGTTTGAGATGTTTTTGATCATCATCAGTGACCTGCAAGTGTTTCAAAAAACTATGTTGCCGTTCCAATCTGGTGATCCACTTTTATTTTTCAGCATTTGCGGATAAATAATTTTTGATATGAAGCATCTTGCGCATTTTTGAAAATAAATATAATTGAACTGTTTATTGATCATGGCTACAATGTATTCTTATTGTAAACAATTGTTTGAACTGGCAATTAGTCATAATTGCCAGTTTAAACTGGCATTTAGCCATAATTGCCAGTTTGAACTGGCATTTAGCTATAATTGCCAGTTTGAACTGGCAATTGGTTATAATTGCCAGTTTGAACTGACATTCAGCTATAATTGCCAGTTTGAACTGGCAATTAGCCATAATTGCCAGTTTGAACTGGCATTTAGCGCTTTCGTACGAAAGGACCCCGCAAATGGAATGTCACAGTTCAAGCAATGACAGCTCTGTCTAATAGATGCCCATTACTTGAGAGGAAATTAGATGGCTACAAGAAGAAGAAATCAAGAATGTCGCTGTTATCTGTCACAGCCGTAGAAAAATTATGGTGTATAACTCGCAGGGAATACCAATTTCCCACTCGAATGATTGCAGCATTATTTGCCTACCGCTCATGCTGCAAATTTCATTCTCTGGGAGAATCACTAATAGTCTAAGATCCGAACCTAAGTCGACCTTCACCGAGCTGATAATAGAACGAAATATATTTAATCATGAATTTAGTATATTAGAAAACATATTAAAAATGGGTTCGCTAAAAAAATCCTGGGCGGACTGTTTTTAATTATTTTTCGAAAAATGATTTTTAATTAAATGTTACAACATCAGGATAATAAAAAAATTTTGTCCTGACTGAAAGTATAAAACGTATAGAATGTGCTGCCGTTGGGTTGTCTACTATTTACCTGGGCGAACTACTGGGTTGTCAGGTAAACACAGGTATATCGATGCCAGTTACTTTCACTGGATTGGATAATTAAAAAAAAATTATATCATCAAAAGCGCTGTTTAATTGCGAGCACGTTGATATTCCGGTCCTATTAGGGGTTTGCGAATTTTAAAGATTTTAATTTCAACGCGCGTGGAAGTGTGTGACAGAGAGATCCGAGGTAAGTATACTGTGTAATAATAAAGGACCCAACATCGCAGTCGCTTGTGATGGGACCTGAATAGTAGAAAGTGTGCGAAGTGTGCGAAGTCAAATCCTGAAAACTATGGTTGGTTGGCAAATGAGGAAGAATCTAATGAATCAGACGAATTCGAGAGTCAAAATGATACTTCTGATGAATCAGATATTGAATAGAAAATATTCATTAGAATTTATTTTTCATTAATATTATTTTTGTATTCATACTGTTTTTTAATAAAATTTTAAATCGTAATACAAGATGTCTAGTCTATCTTTTTTGTTATTTCTTAATTTGAATTTTTGGCGGTCCACTTTGTTTCTATTTCCAGAAAGAGCAAAAAAATTTCAAAGTAAGTAATTGATATTTTTATTGTCTATTAAAGATTATAGATATATTATTATGGTTATAACGCAATATATTGATACTATATTGTTTTTATATATTAGTATTATATTAAATATATTTAATTATTATGTAATTAATTAATTTTTTTTTGCTACTGAAATATCAGTTGCTCCAAAATAACACGCACTGTTTACTATATGAAGGGTAGTAGAGGTACCTCAACCCTCCATAGTTGACACACCGAGCATGCGCACTTTCTACTATTCAGGTCCCATCACAAGCGACTGCGATGTTGGGTCCTTTATTATTACACAGTATACTTACCTCGGATCTCTCTGTCACACACTTCCACGCGCGTAGAAATTAAAATCTTTAAAATTTGCAAACCCCTAATAGGACCGGAATTTTCGCAGACAACCCTATATCAACGTGTTCGCAATTAAACAGCGCTTATGATGATATAAATTTTTTTTAATTATCCAATCCAGTGAAAGTAACTGGCATCGATATACCTGTGTTTACCTGACAACCCAGCAGTTCGCCCAGGTAAATAGTAAACAACCCAACGGCTGCACATTCTATACGTTTTATACTTTCAGTCAGGACAAACATTTTTTATTATCCTGATGTTGCAACATTTAATTAAAAATCATTTTTCGAAAAATAATTAAAAATAGTCTGCCCAGGATTTTTTTAGCAAACCCATTTTTAATATGTTTTCTAATCTAATTCTTATATTGTCACTTCAGGTGTGCCACAAGGATCACATTTAGGGCCCCTACTGTTTCTGATTTATTTAAATGACATCACGTCATCATTTGAAACTTGTAAATTTCTACTTTTTGCGGACGATTTGAAAATATTTGCATCTGTCAAAAGTCCAGTCGATAACCTTTTAATTCAACGTGACCTAGATCGCTTGTATGATTATTGTATCGTGAATAAAATATTTCTCAATTTGAACAAATGTTTTTTCATCTCGTTTACTAAAAATATCAATATATTCTCATACGATTATAATTTCAATAACACCATTTTGAAGAAAGTGGATAAAATCAAAGATCTTGGTGTCGTTTTCGACAGAAAGATGACATTCTCAGAACATATCGATTATGTTGTAACGAAAAGTAACAAAACCTTAGGATTCATATTAAGACAAAGTAAAAACTTCAATTCCATTCAAGCATTAAAAGCATTATTTTATTCTTATGTCTACAGCAGACTTAATTACGCAACGGTTGTGTGGAATCCTCAGTATGCTGTGCATAAGAATAGATTAGAGTTGATTCAAAACAAATTTTTGAGATTTATGGACTACAAGGTTAATGGTACTTATAATCACTTGGCAAGCACATGTAGACTTAGGGAACAGTTTCAGTTCTATTCATTAGAGGCTCGTCGAGAACAATCTGATATATTCTTTTTGTATAAAGTTTTAAATAATTTATCTGACGCTCCAGATCTATTGTCAAAAATCTCAATTCATGTCCCTTCACGTTTTCTCAGACCTAACAATACTTTATTTTCTGTATCATTTTGTCATACAAACGCAGGAGAAAATTCACCACTACATAGAATGAAAAATCTGTACAATCGAAAGTTGTTTTCTGTAGATATTTTTCAATCCTCACTGAATGTTTTCAAAAAAAAAATCAGATACATATACAATTCTCACAGTGCATAGAATATTCAGCAAATTGTAATCATTTCAATGATAAATCTTATTTTTTCTGTGACGGGAAAAAAGTTTGGCATTTCATCTCTGTTGGCAGGTTATAAAATGTCACTTTTCATAAATTACTTTTTTCCCGTGGGAAAAAAGTGAGTACTTCTTTCCCGGATATATATCACATATATATACTCTGTTAATGGCTTTTGTTGTGCTATAGTTCCGAAAAATGAGTCAATAATACCGTCTCCGAGAAAGAACTGCAAGTCCTTTTATCTTCCATTCGACTTCGCGGTTTCGTATATTACTAAACAACTACTGAATTCGCAATTTTTTGAAATCAAATCACAGAATTGAACTGACAGAAGTGACATCAGATATTTGATTACTTCAAAAGAATGATAAAGATGCCTATAAAACGCAGGTGTCCCTACTGTTAAAAACTTGAAATTTTATGTCCATAATTTTCAGATTTCGAAATAATGTGATATCTTCTCAATATTGATTCGTCCTTCCTTCTGTCACAGAAAAAAATAGTGTATTATACACGGGAAAAATATTAGATTTTAGCTCACGGTTTTTTGTCTCCCTCCGCTACGCGTCGGGAGACAACACAACCTGGAGCTAAAATCTACTACTTTTTTCCCTTGTATAATAAATAACTATTACTTCATTATCAAATTTTTCAAACTTATTTTAGTTTTTGGGTTATTAATTTATATGTACACCATGAAACTATGTAATAATTGTGGATAACAATCTGGACCTTGGGGTCTGTCGTTATCCTATTTGATTTTCAATAAATAAATAAATAAATAAATAAATATACTAAATTCATGATAAAATATATTTCGTTCTATTATCAGCTCGGTGAAGGTCGACTTAGGTTCGGATCTTCTACTATAAGATTCCGCTCTTGTTGAACAATATACTATAGGTCTCCAACGACACATTTTTCATAATGAACGTCATTCGAAAGAACAATTCTACGAAAGCGCTGAACGGACATGATACTTTATTTTTTTATAATTGCCAGTTTGAACTGGTATTTAGGTATAATTGCCAGTTTGAACTGACAATTAGCCATAATTGCAATTATGACTAATTGCCAGATCAAACTGGCTTTTATGGCTCATTGCCAGATCAATCTGGCAATTATGGCGAATTGCCAGTTCAAACTGGCAATTATAGCTAAATGCCAGTTCAAACTGGCAATTATGGCTAATTGCCAGATCAATCTGGCAATTATGGCTAATTGCCAGTTTAAACTGGCAATTATAGCTGAATGCCAGTTTGAACTGGCAATTATAAAAAAAAGGATCATGTCCGTTCAGCGCTTTCGTACGATTCAGTTCAGTTCTAGTGAAATATTTCAGTTAGTTCAGATTGAAAGAATATTACTTATATTGGCAGAGCAAGTCTGGTAATTTTCAGTAAACAAAAAATCTCCCTGTAACACAGAAGATACCGTGAACCAGAGTATAACCAAAGAGTATAACCATTGAGTATACACACTAGTGTACATAATCAAGGGTATAACTCACTTGATCGACGGTTGATGTAGGGCGGTGAGCTGCGCGTGCACGGTTAAAGAAACGGCCGACAGATGGAAGTAGTCGAACAGCACTGGCAGATGGTAGTGCAGGCCATCTATCGGCGAGACGTTGAGTTGAAGCGTGCGCGCCGACGCCATCGTCATCGCGACGGGATTGGTCGTGTCGGCGAACCACAGTTCGACCACCAGGGAGAATTCCGCTCGGTCGAGGGATTCGCGCAAGTGGCTACCGTCCACCAACATGTGACATCTAGAAAAACAAGAAAAATTGGATTTTTTCTGTGACGGGAAAAAAGTTTGGCATTTCATCTCTGTTGACGGGTTATAAAATGTCACTTTTCATAAATTACTTTTTTTCCGTGGGAAAAAAGTGAGTACTTTTTTCCCGGATATACAGGGTGATTCACATAAGAACCGACATAGAGCAGGGGCATGTAAGAGGTCCCAAAATATGGCAATTTAACGCAACTTACCTCTATACCAAGTTGCTTCCCTAAGGAGTTGTAGGCTTTGAAAGTGAAGTTATAAACTTTGAAAAAAAATCAATATTTCCGTTATTCTTGAACTTAAAGCAACCAAATTTGGTACACCTTGTGGATGTATTTAGGGCGTTACTTGACAGTTACTAGAGCTTAATTGAAATTTGTAAAGGGGGTATACCGGGTGGCGCACCATTATTATTCAACAGAATTTTGTTAACCCTTGATGGATTTCAAAAACCTTTGCTTTGTGGTGTGGGCAATTCAATTCTAACACTTTTCTTACTCTAGTAATTCTTCGAAAAACCTCATCATTTTCATCAAAAACTCGAATAACTGAAAACGCGCGCTCTAGGTGTGTTATTTAAAATCATCGAAAATTCAAAAGTTGGCTATGAAAATAAACGTATGTACAACGAGAAAGTAGGTCATTAATTGTGATCAGTAGAAATTGGCTCTCAAATTATTATTTAGATACGTAACAAAATACGTAAAGTAAGTACAGATACTGAAATGTGAAAAACTCGGATTAACAACTAACCAAAATAAACACAAAAAACTCAAACAACAACCAGAACAAACTTAATTGAACCACTTAATTGCTTCATTGTCAAGTTTGACGTTTATTTTCACAGCCAACTTTTGAATTTTCGATGAGTTTAAATAACACACCTAGAGCACGCGTTTTCAGTTATTCGAGTTTTTGATGAAAATGATGAGGTTTTCGAGAAATTACCAGACTAAGAAAAGTTTTAGAATTGAATTTCCCACAAAACAAAGCAAAGATTTTTGAAATCCATCGAGGGTTAACAAAATTCGGTTGAATATTAATGGTGCGCCACCCGGTATACCCCCTTTACAAAGTTCAATTAAACTTTAGTTACTGTCAAGTAACGCCCTAAATACATCCACACAGGGTACCAAATTTGGTTGCTTTAAGTTCAAGAATAACGGAGATATTGATTTTTTTCAAAATTTATAACTTCACTTTCAAAGCCTACAACTCCTTAGGGAAGCAACTTGGTATAGAGGTAAGTTGTTGCGTTAAATTGCCATATTTTGGGACCTCTTACATGCCCCTGCTCTATGTCGGTTCTCATGTGAATCACCCTGTATATCACATATATATACACTGTTGATGGCATTTGTTGTGCTATAGTTCCGAAAAATGAGTCAATAATACCGTCTCCGAGAAAGAACTGCAAGTCCTTTTATCTTCCATTCGACTTCGCGGTTAAGTATATTACTAAACAACCACTAAATTCGCAATTTTTTGAAATCAAATCACAGAATTAGACTGACAGAAGTGACATCAGATATTTGATTACTTCAAAAGAATGATAAAGATGCCTACAACGCAGGTGTCCCTACTGTTAAAAACTTAAAATTTCACGTCGATAAATTTTAATTTCAAAATAATGTGATATCTTCTCAATATTGATTCGTCCTTACTTCTGTCACAGAAAAAAATAGTGTATTATACAAGGGAAAAAAATATTTGATTTTAGCTCACGGTGTTTCGTCTCAGCACAACCTGGAGCTAAAATCTACAACTTTTTTCCCTTGTATAATAAATAACTATTTATTTATATAGGGTGTAACATAAGTACGTTGAAATTATCAAGTCACGTAATCCTGAGAATATTTTATTTCCGCTCGATCGAGGAATTCGAGCAAGTGGCCACCGTCCACAACATCTAGGAAAACAAGAAAAAATGGAATTTCATCTATACAGGGTGTAACATAAGTACGTTGAAATTATCAGGTCACGTATTCCTGAGAATATTTTAAGGAAGAAAAGTCTATACTGTCTGTAGGTTAATCGAGGAGGTGGTAAATTCTTTATTCCAAATTTTTTGGGATTTTCTCTCCTCGTTCCTTTACCTGAATAGGACGACATCTTTGAGGATGACCTCTTCGTTCCTGTAAAGTATCTGAAATGGCCGACAGGCACCATAATTTCCCAAAACAATCGCAGTTCCTAAGCCGGTGGTGACCTCTGGCGTCGTGACTTCGATTTCGATACTCATTTTTGATGATACCCGCAGAGAACAACGAACTTGGTACATACTGAAAGAATAGTATTTATCATTATTGTTTTTCACATGATCCAATGGACAACCTATAGTTCCCATAAATTCGAAATGTATGAAGAGACTACAAAAATGTTGAGTTGATGTTACTTACCCCCTTTGAAATAAGTCAACATTGTAGAATTTGAACAACTCTATCGAAAACTCAATGGTCGATTGCAACTCACTCATAATATTGCGAAAATGAGTTGGTGCTCTGTAGTATGACTACATCACTGAAACAATCAAAGAAAAAATGTATAACTAATCAGACTTGTGAAAGTTTTCGAAATAGGACAATTTATTCAACGCATCGAAAATTCAAATTTCATGTTTATTGATCCCTCTTTCACAAAAGCAATAACTATCTCATCAATGTTTTTTCCTTTAAATCCCCATCAAAATTACTCGTTTCGTTCAGAGATGGCACGTCATTAATCCTGAACTTTATTCACTTTCTAATGAAAAGGAAAAACTAGAGCAAGAACCTGTATATATGTATACGCTTTAACATCAGTGACACTTTTATAGATTTTGACGCAAACTCTATGCCTCCATAATAGGATAATTAAATTACCTAATGACTTTGTTTATTGTCAGTTAACCTAATTTCCGGAAAAGTGTTCAGGTACGTAGTACTAGGATTACTGAACCTTATAAAAATAACAATTCTTGGTTTGTTCGGAAGGATCATATTTTTTCACGCCATCAAAATGATATCGACGACTTTATGATTGTTTCATTTCTATTTATTTCATAACTGTTTTCCTTGTTTTCTATTATTTGATCTCTTGATATTGAAAAAATGTTTGTGTGAGATGGACAAATTTAGCTATAACCATATTTGATGAAATAGCGATATTTTGCTTGATTCACCTATGAACAAGACTATAAATGGTTGACAAACATGTTGTTCATCTTATGCCTGAATACTCGTATAGGGAAACTAATTTTCAACTATCAATATGTGACCCCCCTTAATATCATAGATAATTCATTGATCCGAATGAACGGTTTTAAAATAATCTGGATATCGAATGTCGTCTGTAGAATATGACACCTGAACACCCTATTGAAATCAATTTACTTTCAATGTTTCAGTGACTCATAGACTAGATCAACCATGTGGATCTATACAATATGAAGTAAGAGAGAGTATGATAGTAGGTGCATGTTTTAGATATAGAGAGGACTTGAATTCCCCAACCAATCTGATGATAACATTATCAAAGGATTTTTCCTAGTTAACGAGAAATCTGTAGAATAGTGGCCTGATGCGATTATAACATAGAGAGTTGAATTTCGATGATTTCCATTGTCCTGATCAGGATCTTCAGGATGAGCGATTCTTTCTCGAATAAAATGGTGAATGATGTTTCACCAAATTTTCAAATGCTCCTCCGCCAATACTTCAAATATTTCGTAATTGAAATTGCAAATGCTCCTCCACCAATACTTCAAATATTTCGCCACCAAAATTTCAAATGCTTCTCCACCAAAATTGGAAATGTTTCTCCGCCAAAATTTCAAATTATTGTTTTTACCATCGAATACCTTTTTATATCGAGAGAGACGTGTGATTCAGACCTCAAAACGTCGAATCAAATTGAAATTCTGCACACTCATCAAGGAACGATGACAATAGCATAATTAAATAGATCTGTTTCATTATCCTGATCAGGATCTTCGGGATAAGAGATTCTTTCAGTAGTTATTAAAAATAAGAAAAACTAACTGAAAAACACGTTTCTGTAGTAAGCCGGACTTTAAAATCAAATCCAAAATATTAATCATATGTTGATAAAAATACAGCACATAGAAAATATTAGCTTCTATTATGCCTTTCATAGAGGACATTGATACATTTTCATATTTTGGCGAGAAATCCCAATTCCTTCATGATCGCATTCGCCATATCATGAAAATGCATTTTTGCCTTTTTGAGCAATACGCTTCCAAGCGAAATTATTATTAGGGCTAATAGAGTAAAATAATTCCAGTGGCGTCGCAGTGGGTTACCTGATCCACATTTATAATGAATTTTAATGTGAGTCAATGGTTTTTTAGAGCTCATATTTCTGTTAAATTGAACAATAATTGGAAATACAACTTTCATGTTGCCTGAGTAATTTTTGTATCTATTTTAGAATGGAAATAGACACCATACGGTGTTTTTTCAGATACACAGCTAATGAGTTCAAATGGTGTTGAATAATTTTGTGACGAACTTGAGCTACAATTTACATTGCAGCTCTACAAGCAACTCCTGATACTGGATTGTTTATTTCAGATAATATCGTACTCGGATTTTATTCGTTTGATCTGAATTCTAAACTAATCAGTGCCAAATTGTTCAGACAACAAAACGGTGTAAATGTCACACCTCATGAATGTTCTACTATATTGAGATTTTATCAAATTATCCAAATTAGCATCCTTATAAAATTCTTAGACTTTGACAGGCAACCATGAAAGCTTATAAAGGATGATAACGAAGAGAAAAAAACATTAAAAATTCTCCACTGCACCACTCTGGATCTTGATACGGAAGCAACTTTCGCACTATTTCGGCATCACTCTGTGTCATATATGTTTCTTTTTGGGTGATATGCGGATTCTACGTATACGGGCCGAATTCGTGATCCTCTTACTGAGGCAGGCTATTTCAGGCCCTAGGCAGTAAAGTAGCAAAGCCCGATTAATTATTCATGGCAGGATTGACATTCCGAGGACCCTAAGGGGTTGTTGCAGGTGGCCCAGTTTCGCTAAAGTTATTGTGTATACATACACGGATACAGAAAGAGCATTCGACCTACTTGGAAATGGCGATAGGTAGAAAAAAAATCTTCAGAATAATGCATAATATCTAGTCAGAAACCATTATTTGAATGACCACTTGTTCAGCGATAATAGTAGATTGTTGGATCGAAAGTTAAACTTTGTTTGACAAGCGAATTTGGTGAGAATATTCTACCAGCATTTACAGCAGGTTTATTCAATTTTCAAGGATATTTAAATTGTATTTTCAATATAAATACAACCACAGAGTGACATTTTTGTGTATGGACCAGATGCTCTAATGGCACATATCGCGCCAGTGCCAGGTATAGGAACAAGATGTGGAAAATGTTGGGTTAGTGAGCATATCAACAATGATAATAGCGATTTTTTATTCCTATCCATACTCCACTATGTTTGGCTTGATAATCAAATAGAAGTAAACAATAACGTTGTTTGAGGCAAAAAAATATTGCTGGCCGTGATTATTCAAAAACAAGTTATCCATCGAGAATAACGAATGAAATACAGATCAAGCATCAAGTATGTGAATCTTGAAGGCTTTCCTGATCAAAACAAAAATACTCAACTATACCCTTGAATATATACACTAGTGTGAATACTCAAAGAATATACTAAGGTGTATTCATATCTCCAGCATGAGTATGAAATGCCAAATCTGCCGAAATCGGAAACAAATCAGGTATATGCGTCCCAATCCAAATAACCAACCATAACAATGTTGTTTATCCTTGATGACCTCTAGGACATCCTTTTCAGTTCCTAGGAGCTAGAGCTCATCTTTAGCTCAATGACCAAATTCTTGACTGAAGCAGTGATATACCATTAAGGAACTAAGCCCAAAAACTAATACATGATTCGAATAAAAAGCACTCATTCTTCAAAAAACACGGCCAGTGCTGTAACTTGGCGGCGCCAACTTCTGATTTTCAAATACTACTCCCTGTGTCCCTGTATAATTTTACAGTGTTGGATTCACGGTGTCATTTTATATGCACCAGCAGTTTTTCCTGGTCGAAATGTCAGATGGAAACATTTTCAATAGGATTTCATTTTTCAACAGTGACCATAAATTGGAAACGATTCATAGAGAACATGATATTCTCTACACATAAAAATCAGAACATGAAAATGGTAGATTCAAGATCAATTAATGAAAACATCCTGTATCTCATTTGTATACTAACATCATCACTCATCCATATGCCAACATCTGTACGACACTGAGAAGTGTCAAACTAGAACAGAATTTTCGAAGAAAAGTATTTTGCATTTTTATATTGAGAACGGGAGCAGAATCGTTCCCGAAACCTCCAAAGCTAAGTAAAATTTCGATATTTTTTCATTGTATCTATATTTCTTTTCTCAACATTTTTCTCCAAACAAAGTGTCACTGACGAGCTATTGGATTTTCCTTTTAGGCTTCCTGATAGAAACATTTTTTAAACGCAGTGACATTTTGGGGCAAATCATCTGATTTGTCCTACTTCACATGTATTGCAATAATACAAATATTTTTATTTTGTAGAAACGAGGAGATCAAATTCCAAATAATCAAGTGAAATAAATGAATACTGTGATTGAAAATAATTCCGTCTGAAAAATATACAGGCGGTCCTATTTGAAAATCAAAAGATGGAGTTGTTTCCGGTAATAGCGGAAGTGATGGAATAGGTTTTTTTGCTGTGAATAAATGAACAATATGGAATACTTACCAACCACCAAATATCAAATTCAGATCTCGAATGGTTCAGAAGTTAAAGCACTTGCCATTTTTATGCACTTTTCATATTTTTCAAGATCAGTTACTCATTTTTTTTTGGAAATGAAATGAATCACTCTATTCCACCAGTGTATTTCAATTCAATTTCTGAATGCAATAGGGGCATATTGTTTTGTAATTTGGTAAAAAGTTGAACATTTCCAGCGCAAAAAGAGTTATTCCATTCATGGAACACCATAACTTTATAACTTCGAATTGGACTCCCTGAAAATAATCACAATCTTGTGAGTCCCTTTTTAGTACCAATCCAACGATACCATAATAATTGTTGGATTTTTATGGCACAGTTTTTTTTTCATTTCGTGGACAGAAAATTAACTATGTATTCTGAAATTTCTTATATATTTTTCCATCCTTTTTCACTCATATTATTATCTCAAAATGTTTGCTCTCGTTTTAAAATTTGATGGATTTCCTTGTCATAACAGTGGCGAAACTTTAGTATTTCATGTTACGTGATTAGGTTACCTGAGTTCAGTAGGTCAGGGGTCAAGAATTGAAACATTTCCTGGATCCCGTGACCTGTCCTCACCCTTTTCTACAAAACCTCCCCAATACAACTCCCGAATCTAAAATGCCACGTGAAAAAAAATACCTTGAACACCTGGCCTAGGCCTAAAAATACCCAGCTCACCTGATAGTTGATGACCGCACAACTAACCCACTAACTAGAACTAGCCTCTCTCAGTCGTCGACCTTTTCACCGCACATCGCGACAGCCATGGCACCGTCGTTTGTTTACCTCTCGGGACGTCGATGGATAAGATCAATCTAGCAGGCGGGAGTGCGGGTTTCCTGGTTATTGTGTGAATGAAAAGTAGGCCTGGCATGCGGCGGTGGCTCGGACGAGCTTCGCTCTTGGCCGCTGCTGCTGCTGCTGCGTCCTACTTCCGACGACGCTACGAGGCGTCCGCGCGGTGTTGCCAGGTGGGCAGAGGGGTTTCCGTGGGTCTGGGGAATTCGGCGTTGCCAGCTAGTTAATTATATTTTTTTCAATCTTGCTGTCTTTGAATCTATGTGGTGGTTTCTTGAGGTACATTATGAACCCAGAATCTGGTGATTTTTCTGGATTGCAATAGCTTCATTCATTTAACGATTCCACTTATTATCGGGGAAAATCTCGGGGAAAATGTAGCTTTGACCAATTCGATTCAAATATTCATTTCATTAAATACTGTCCGTAGGTTATTCGAGGAGGTGGTACCTACATTCATTATTCCAGATTTTTTTGTTTTTCTCCTCGTTTCTATAAAATAAAAATATGAATATTATTTCGATATACGTGTCGCGTAGAGAGGACAAATCAGATGATTCGCTCCAAAATGTCACTCGTTTAAAGAATTTTCCTATCAGAGAGCCTAAAATAAAAATTCACTAGCTCGTCAGTGACAATTTGTATTGAAAAAAGTTCGAAGAAGTGAAATAAAGGGATATAGAAAAATATCAAATATTTACTTAGCTTTGGCGTTTCGGGAACGAATCTGCTTCCGTTTTCAACATGAAAAATATATTTTTTGTATCGCAAATTCGTATTTGTGCTGACACATTTTGGTTGTCAGTGACCATTGTCACAATTTTCACGGACAAATACGAATTTGCGATGCAAATAATCCATTTTTCATGTTGAAAACGGGAGCAGAATCGTTCCCGAAACGTCCAAAGTTGAGTAAAGATTTAACATTTTTTCTATATACCTTTATTTCTCTTCTCCAAACTTTTTTCAATACAAATTGTCACTGACAAGCTAGTAAATTTTTCTTTTAGGCTCTCTGGAAGGAAAATTCTTCAAACGCAGTGACATTTTGGGGCAAATCATCTGACTTGTCCTACTACTACACGTATATTGGAATAATATTCATATTTTAATTTTATAGCAACTAGGAGAGAAAATCCCAACAACTCTAGAATAATGAATTCATTTTATTCGTTGATTATTCCAACATCAAAATGGTAGATTAAAGACAAATTAATAGAAAAATCATGTAACTCATTTGTATACTTCTTACATCACTCATCCATATGCCAAAATCAGCATAACATCAATATGACACTGAGAAATAGGTACCAAACTATAAGAGCACAAATTTCAAAGAAAAATATTTTTGCATTTTCATGTTGAGAACGGGAGCAGATTCGTTTCCGAAACGCCCAAAGATGAGTAAATATTCGATATTTCTTCAATGTATCTATGTATCATCTTGTCATCAACCATTTTCTCAAACAAAGTATCACTGACAAGCTATTGGATGATTGTTTTAGGCTCCCTGATAGAAAAATTTGTCAAAAGCAGTGGCATTTTGGGTCAAATCATCTGATTTGTCCTACTACACATATATTGAAATATTACTCATATCTTTATTTTATAGAAATGAGGAGAAAAATCCTAAATAATCAAGTGAAATAGTACCACCTCCTCGATTAACCTTCTAATACTGTGATTTTGTGCACTGTGGTACCAAATGACAGATTAATTACTGATTATCGATTTCATAAGGCGTTTTCCATTTATTTTTCGTCATTTTCAAAATATTAACATTACATTTGAAGAAATCTGTGAAGAAATATGAAAATATGTTTGTTTCGACAACTGCTTCACAGATTTTTCCAAAATTTCATTAGCTACCCACGTATGATTAATATTGATTGGTAAAAAAAGTCATTATTCTCAGAATTTTCCAAATGACACCGCAGTATTTTCGAGTTCGAATGCCATTGGGCCAGATTTGTATTGTTCCGATATTGTATTTACGAAAATATTCCATGCAGAATTATGAACTAATCAAGAAAATGAACGTCGCGGTCCAAAATATACATCGAATTCAAGGTTTTCACAACTGATTGATTTTTCATGCACGTTGAGGAATTTTGGTGAGATAATATCTTGATAATACAGACTTAGATTTGGAAAATTCCAGAACCATTTCGAGACCAGACATCAATTTTCGTGTTCATGGTATGCACTCCATAATTTCATCTATCGAATTGAGAAAACCATCTTTCATCCATAGATAAATGAAGTCATTAATCTATGTTTCATCTGAAGATGAATATATTCTTCTCCATTGGTCTAGCCAACTGTGAAAACCGAATAGAAATCAGTTATAGTAGGGTCCATGAGTGAATCTTTTTTTCTAATTGACTCGTCCGTTACTTGATGGAAATCCATAGCAAATGTGAAAACTTCACAAACAATAAAATTTCCACAACATTTCTAAACACCCCACATGTTTCGCTAACACAGTAGCTTCGTCAGGTGATATACTGGTACAATGAACTGAATCAACGTTGGCTTGCTTAACTTTTATATATAAGTTCTATAATTTTGATTATTATTCTTGATGGTAGTATAAAGTTATTCAAGAAGTTTATCCTACCATCAAGAATAATAATCAAAATTATAGAACTTTATAGAACCCATTTCGGATCATCAACTGAAAATAAGCTTCATTTCTAAATAAACCGGACTTAAGCATATAGGGATAATGAAGACAAAACTTCTAAACTCGAAAGATCTGTGGTAAACAAACTCAACTGTGGATATTTTCCTATGGTATATATCGGTCAGACAGGTCGTACGTTTAATCAGCGCATTCTTATTGAATATAAGATGAATTTTTTGAACCATATATTGGAAGAATACCATATCTTGATGATAATTTCGAAATACTACACATAGAAATAAAGGAATGGAACTCAATCATTTTGAATTATTAGAAATCAACAAGCTCCAAAATTTTGATATTTTACTTAACGATCAATTAGACCTCAAGTTAAAGTTAATATTTCAATGTAGATATTGTGCCTAATTTTCGAAAATGGAGGTTTATCGAACCTGTCCACAGGCAACTAATCCTTCAAGTTGGAAATGTAGGATATATAAAAGTTAAACAAGCCAAGGTTGGTTTAGTTCATTGTACCAGATATATCACCTGGCGAAGCTACTGTGTTAGCGAAACATGTTGTGTGTTTAAGGATTTTGTGGAATTCCTATCGTTTGTGAAGTTTTTACAAATCAATCTTGAATGGGGCCACGACGTTTAATTTGTTGATCAGCTCAGATGAAACTCATAACCGGTAGGTACTTATACTCAATCTAATTGTCGAAATTATCTGAACGTTTTCTCTCATTTTCTTGATAAAATATTGATGATGCTTTTATTCTGCCGATGTAATATCAAAGAAATTAACCCTTTTTATTAGTCATTCCTGAAGTTTGCCAGACTGCCTGTAAAAACTAGGTGATTCTATATAGACGCGAGATGAAAACCTAATAACTGCACGTGTTTGAAGGGCTCTAATGACGAAAATCACTTTCCATTTTCTATAACGCCCTTCCAACGCCCAATCCGTAAGCAAATTCCAATAACGCGCAATATGAAATGAAGGGGAACATATTGGAAATTGAGTAGGTTTGACGTTTGATGCTGTTTCCAACGAAATCCAGACCTTGTGATTAATTCGCAATATGATAAATCATTAGAAGTATTTTCGAGGAGAGAAGATGAATAACAAGAATATCATTTTTTTCTCAGAATCATAAAATACTAACTCTTTACGAGTTGAGCAAAAAATTCGCTTGTGAATATTCGAACGTAGGTCCCACTATTAGAAATTTCATAACATTTTTTTCAAATACTTTGATAGTGAGCAGCCAAGTTCATGTTTCAAAATAATCAAACTATCGACAGAAGTAACAAACATAAAGGTCCCAAAGAAGACACAATAACATCAGTTTCACTCATCACAGATTTTGACAAGCTGTCTTTTCACTCTAGTTCAAACCTCTGAAAAAATGTATGGTACCACCCCTCTACCCTCTATCCTATTCAAATTATGAGGGTTTTTCACAGCTACAGGGTTGAAGCTTTATTTTCTCAACCTCACTCACATGATAATGATTCCTCATGTGATTACATCAATTTGTTTGTAACACCCATAGTTTTTCGTTTTTCAACTGAAAAACTATCCATGTATAGGTACCTGAAGCAGTGATGCCGATGTTTACATGGTTTACATCACTAAAACCAAATGTTTTCACTGCAAATAACGGAATGTCATCAATTATATAGTAAACATCAAAAATATAGAAGAAATAAGCAACCCCTACATAAGGATGGACAGATACATTCTGCTGCTGATGATACCCAATTGTATCTTACTTTCAACGCTTTGCATAGTATATATTTTAATAACCTGATCAATATAGATTTGAATTCCCTACTTCGTACCTGTGAGGCACATCTACTCAAAATCAATCCATCCAAATCATGTGCTCTTTTGTTCTGTAATGATACTGATAGAACATCCCTGATTGAATCTTGTGTGTTACGTATAGGTGATGATGTAATTCCATTCAAGAACTGCATAAAAAATCTAGGGTTAATATTCGATTATGAACTTCGATTCAAAGAACATGTCAAGTATATGCTGAAGAAATGCTATTCTAATTTGAAAATGATTTACCCTCTCAAGCACTCTCTTGAACAAGATATCAAAAAAATGCTTTGTGAGTCATTGGTGTTATCCTAGCTCAATTACTGCGATACTGTGTACGGACCTTGCTTAGATGTTGTTGATATAAAACGCATTCAAAAAGTCCAGATTTTGGTATCAGCAGACGAAATAGGATTTCTCATAAATTGAAAGTTGTTAATTGGCTGAACATGCTTAACAGACGTGAATTGCACATGGTTTGCAGCTACTACAAAGTGCTAAAACAAAAAAGCCGGAATACCTGTATAATAAAATCTCTATCAGAAGTGATATTCATAACTTGAATATTCGACACTCTAGTCTTATTACTGTGCCTAGACATAGGAAAGAAATTAATAAAAGAAGTTTCTCTTACAACATCGCCAATCTTATTAATGCTCTTCGTGTCACTGATTTCAGTCGTTCGCTTAAATCATTTAAAAGTATGGTAACGAAACAATTGCTTCAACTCCAGAATTTCTGATTCATTTTTGGTATCAATATATGAGATTGAATCGTTTTTATTTATTTTTAGTGATCCTCCTGCTGTGCATACTTGCTTCCTTCTTTTCCCTCTTCTTTTCCTCTCTCACTTTTCTTCTTAACTCTTCATATACTATACTAATGCTCTTAGGATCTTTAGCCGTTAGATTTATAGTTTCTTGTTAGGTTTAGGTCTGGCCAAAATGTAAGAACAGTTTCAATCTATTTGGTAGAATATAACTGAACTCTGGCCATTTATTCACCACATTAAGTATGCTTTACCTACAACCTTATACTTGTCATGGTTTTTGGGGAATAATAAACGTATTATTATTATTATTATTATTATTATTATTATTCTTGCATTGCATGTCCGGAAACGTGTGAATAGTAATGTATTCTCCATCTCAGCACTGATGAGTTTCCGAGGTAGTTCCATCACAAATCAAACTAATACATTATTGCCTAAACATCTTCCTGCTTCCATTCAAGTATAGTATATTATAATGTTTCATCCTGTGGTTTCAATATGATAGATTTTTATTAACAACCTTGACAGGAACATGAAAAATGTTTTGGTATGAAATAGAAAATGAATTACTTAGTTTACTCAGTTCACGTAGATGTCTCTGAGGTATGTACATCTCTTCTTTATTTTTCTTTTCAATGAACAGACATTATTATAGGTCTCGTCTACTCACTTCCTACCTAGGTTGTCATCTAGATCTAGAACGACGATGTCTGGGCTAGTGAACAGTGTGATCCGAATTCAGATTGTTCAAAGCAGAAACAAGTTATTCATATTTTAGCAGGGGCAAAATTTTGAGATGCGACGAAATCAATGTTGCGTATAAAGCTTATTTTACAAAGGTGTAATGAAATAAGAACGCCCATTTCCATAGACACCTTTATTCCGAATTAACATCGACAATAATTTTTGGGCGCTTCACAAATGGACAATAATTCTCTGGAGCAAGGCAAGTCGTTCCAAGTGAGTCCGGTGGTACCTTCTATCCGGATTTCGATGCAGTGCTCCCACACGATGGGTATGTTGTTGGGTTCCGACCAGTACCAGTTGGTGTAAACGATGTCCCTTCCCGTGGACAACCATTTCCAATGTACGTTGTCCACTGATTTCGTCGCCGACGTCCAAAAGTGACCGTAGGTCAGTCCTGGAAACGGAAAAATTGTATTGGTCGATATACAGGGTGTATCTAAATAACACAAAAAAATTCAAGAATCATTATGAAACTTTGGGGGGCTTTCTGAGTCTCCAACCCTACTGAATTTTAGCACCATGAAAGCTTCTACAGGGGGGTTATAAATATAAACAATTAATACTTCAACATCCTGTATCTCAAAAACGGAGCAAGTTGAATTTTTTCGGTGTTATTTAGATTCACTCTATATACAGGGTGTTCCTGAAAGGTCTATACAAAATCTCAATACATATTGCTCAGGACAAGCCGAATCAATGCAACTCACCTCAGTCCGAAATTGCTTCATTTCCAAGATACAGGGTGGTGAAGTTGAAAAATTAAAAAAAAACTTACATTTACACAATCATGAGATAATTACATTTTTTGTACATTTTCTTCTGAATGAATTCAATGACTCGTAGTTCACCAGGTCAATTATTAAATAAAATCCGACCAGAACTGAATAAAGAATCAATACCTAGATACTCTCTGCTGATATAAGAATTGCCAATACTATTTCTTGTGTAGTGTGTATGAATACTATGTGTGTAAATAAACTGTTCACTTAGATAATTTGGCAACATATTGTTTTTAAGTTTGAATATGAATAATAATAGCATATTCAATGTTATTCTTTGTTTCACAGACATGAAACACAGCGTATCCAACATATATCTCACTTATGTACGTTTATTGCAACTTAATATTGCCCTTATGCTCTATTTTGGAACTTCTGTAATCTGTTGAGGTTTTAGTTGATTACAAAATAAAGCAGTGTACTGCAAGTAGTCGAAATGGGGTGCTATCATTGATTCCATTCAAACTTTCAGTTTTGAAATAACCTATATCACGATCTTCTTTGACTTATCAGACTTTGTATGTATGTATAGGTCAATGTGTATACAGCAATTTCTTTTCCTATCATCTTAACCTGTTTTTCTGTCGAAAAATCAAGGTGAAGAACTGATTGGTTTGAAATTTTGATTTTTTGAGACATCTTCAGTCGATTTTTCCAAAATGATTTTCTCACGAGGTATGTAATCCAATGTCTATACAGCCATCGTTTTTTCATCATCTTGACCTAACTCTTGTGAGAATATCTAGGTGAAGAATTGATTGGTTTGAAAATTTGTATTTTTGAAGTATTTTCAATCGTTTTTTCCATACTGCTTTCCTTCGCAGGTATATGTAAGGCAATATTGGTTAGGAAATTTGAATTTTTGAGGTATTTACAATTGTTTTTTTCAAATTGCTCCTCTCCCAAGTTATGTAGGACAATGCTTCACAGAAGAAAGTCTGAATTCAAAGGAAAAAGTGCGTAATCAAAAGAAAAAAGTCCGAATTTAGTGAAAAACAAAACTCTGTATTCAGCGAAGAAGCAGATAGTATAGTATAAATTTAGAGAAAAACGTCTGAATTCAGAAATATAATAGATACGACACGACAGTGGCTACGTTTTCTTAGATTTATGCATTCATAAAAAATACATATAGTGATGTATACAGGCCCTGTATTACAGGGTTGATCAATGGAAACTATCCAGCTCAATTTCAATGTAATATCAAAATTTGGAAGTACTCTCAAACACGCGAATATTCGATTTGAAGAGGTACTAATTTCCAGTTTTATTTCCACCCCCATCGCATTAACCCTGTAGCTGGGGGTCGTAGAACATCCTTCCAAATTTGAAGAAGATTTGGAGAAAGGGGTCATGCAATTACTATTTTTGAAAATCTGTGAATATACCATTATTTTAGTATTGGAAATCGAATGTTTCAGAAGTGACTATTTTATTTCCAGCTATCAAATAATATGGATTTCTTACCGTTCTCTACCAAGAATAACTCGATTCTTTTGTTTTCAGCTTGGCTTTCTATGCTGAGTAATTCCATCCCTTGTTGCTTACAGTATGCCATTGCTCCGAAGTAGTTTGCCTATAGATTATTTTTGATAAGTTTACTGGAAAAATATTTCAGAACCAAATTCAATTTAGCACTTGATACTGCGATTGGGGATGAATAAAGTCTCTTCCTTAAGAATTGTCCACTGCAGTCCCTATAGCTACAACGTATCCAAAAATATTCTGATAAGCTTCGAAGCTATGGTAGGAAGTATCAAAACAATTTTTTTTAGTCATATCCAGATACACAGAAAATCATTGAGAGGAAAATTTTACTATGATATTCATTCACTTGGTACTGAAATAGTAGATTGTTTTATTAGGATCAAAAGTGACACTTTGTATGCGAATTTTGCGAGCGCAGCCGAGCGAAAGCAAAATTTGCGAATCTAACAAAGTCATGTACTTTTGTTCCGAATGAAACATGCTTTTTTTCTGCAACCGGAAGAACTAACTAAAATAACTATATGAAGTTACCACCACTTGACAGATTATTGTTATACAATTATAAAAATAATATGGCACCACGGAATCCGAAATAGTAATTCATATAGTGCTTAAATTGTATAGCAATATTCACTATGGAAACTTATTTCAAAAAAATCGAACTGTTTACTATAATTTGTGCTTGGAACTATAATCGACGCACGTTATATTAGAAAGTTCAATAGTTATAGTAAATTTCACTACTCATTTTTTCCTTTGTTAAACATTTTTTGGTGATATTTGTTTTGTTTGGCAGCAGTAAACGATTGATTCTGCCATTTCGAAATCGGCAAATCAAAATTTGAAGAAAATCTCACAGCATTTTTTGGCCTGGTTTGGATAATTCGATGAAGTGATTTGTGAGCAACATATAATATGTTGTGGAGTTTCGAATTTGGCTCTTCAATTTCCTCTTATGGAAATGTCCCCTAGTTGAATCCAAAGAAGTACTGAACAAGTTGATATTATTTCCGGAGAAATCCATTTTCATAGATATATTCGAAATATGGGTTTCAATTTTTTTATGAGCAGACAAATGAAATAATAGGTACCTTGAACACTGTATTGAAATAATATTTTTGACCAGCAAATTCGAGTTGGTTGTTGTTGTTTTTTTTCGGTAGAACAGCTGATGTGAATGCACCATCATCGTTCTGACCTGCCGCGTATGATATGCAAGCAGTCGAAATCAGTAAACAAACACAAATCCACATTATTCCAAGAGTAGCTAGATGCTATTTCGCGCACAAACTTGATAAACTCTACTGAACTGTCTTGTTATTTTGATCGATTCTAATAATCTTGAACTGCGGTGGTGAAAGGGATTCACATCTGCGATGGAAAAATTGATCGCATGATAATTAATCATACTCGTCTATTATTTATTGTTTAGCTTTACTTGCTACCTACGCCATTTTAAACCATTTTTTCAAGGGGGATGATCATTTGTATACGTTCATAAAAATAAATAGTAGTTTTAAAACCCGCTTTTATACATTGCGAATCGGGAGGAACGAACCAAACTCCAGATGTGTATTGTACACGTATCAGATATCGATATCAGATGTGAACTTTCATCGGCTTCAAAGAGAGCTAGAACACTCTGCTGAAGAAGTCCGCAGAACAAAACTTACACAGGGTGTAAAGTGGAACCATTACACTATGGTCTTCATTTCCAATGCTGCCAGAACTCGAGAATTTTTTTCCTGATCAAAAGTCATATTATGATACACTGGGACCTCATCTCGGGAAGTTTTCGTGATTTTTTCCTTAATTGGCCATTGGAACAAAAATTCGATTTTTTTTCGAAAGTCTTGCATTTCTTGATTTTTTTCTCTTAAACTCCACTTGAGCTGACTATTGGGAAGAACTGTTCTCATGTTTTGTGGAGGACAATGAAATACGGAGAAAGCACTATTGTGAAATATACAGGATGATGAGAAAATAGGACAAAATCTCATTTCAGTAAAAAAAAACAAAAATGGTGACTAAAACCATGGCCCATTCGATTTAGTATATTCAGGAACGGTCTTCTTGATATTCATTATTCATATTAGACTATTAACTCTAGACGTTTTCGAAAATTTGCCTCTAATTGAAATACACAGGATGAAAATTTTCAATTTGTTTGTTTCCTGATATCAACTGATTTCCAATATTTATTGCCCAAGTATGAGACACAGAGTATTGTTGTACAATATACTGAGTATTTCACAACTTATCTGACAAATTTCAACCACAACTACGATATCACATAAGAAGTCTATCACATAAAAATTTTATAGAAGAAAAAAACGAGATGGAAAATAAAATTTATAACACTTTATATCCACTTAAACTATTCGAAATGGGCTCTATTGGCGAAATATGACAATAGTGAATTCTTCAGCATTATGAAGATCCAAATAGAGAGTCCTATATCCTAAATTTCAGTACTTGGTAGGGCCTTCTTGATTTAACAAAACCTCATGAAATCGGTTTGGCATAGATTCTATGAGGTTGTTGATGATGTCTTCTCGATAGGTTAAGTTTCATTCGGCTCCACACATGTTCAATCGAATTCAGATCTTGAGATGATGCTGGTCACCACATTCTTCTAACATTATTATTTTCTAGAGTTCGTAATTTGTCAGATAAATTGTGGAACACTCAGTATATTGAACAACAATACTCTGTCTCATACTTGGGAAATGAATATTGGAATTCAGTTGATAAGAATCATCAATATCAGGAAACAAGTTCGAATCGAAAATTTTCGACCTGTATTTCAATTAGACACAATTTTTCGAAAACGTCTCGAGTCAATAGCCTAATTTAAATAATGGATATCGAGGAGGCCGTTTCTGAATATACTGAATCGAATGGGCCATGGTTTTAGTCACCATTTTTGATTATTTTTATGTATTTTTTGTGCATTGTACAACAGCACAATGTGAACGCATCCTTGAATCAATGGATAGCCGAAAAACACGATTTGTGTATTCGTATGACCATTTCATGTTTGAGACAATGAACGAGTACCTCGCGACAGTAGCGCTCACTGCATCCATTATTCTAGCTTCCAACAAAATAGACGTTTTAAATGTCAACAATTTAATCGCTGAAAACTGAGGTTGATTCATCATCAATTCTGCTTCTGTATTGGTAGAGCCAGTCCGATAAAATTTAGTAAACAAAATATATCTCTGTAGAACAGAAGAAATCGTGAGAATGGTCGAATCCGATTGGTTCTCGAGAACAGGAGTGAAATCAAAATGCATGGAATCAATTTCGTATAATTTCTAATAGATTCGTCTAAATCCCACTCCTGATTTGTTTCAGATGGTCTTTTTTCCTATCGATGACGGGGAATATTGAGGGATGGTCATGTGATCGTTCTCTGAGGGACAATAAAGACAGTTGTTCCTCGAAACATAGTATGAATTTAAACGCCGTTTCTTGGGCCAACTGGACAAGGCTGTCGGAGTATTCCTATGAATCCGGGTGCTGCCCGGAGGTCGAGAGGCCAAAGGGCACGTACCTAGTCAGAGGGCGGTCACATGACTAGGTGGTTGCGGTTCGGTGATTCCAGAAGAAACAAGAATGGAAAAAAAGGATCGTTTATAGGTGGAACGGAATACATTTTAGAGTGGTGAGTGAAACCTCATTTCATTTCATGGTATTTGCAACTTTTTGTATTGATCGATATGACGATATGATGTGTGTACGATTTGAACCCGCAACACCCTCCTAATTCGGAACCCGTCAACCGATTTTCAAGAAGAAAAATTCCATAATATACCACTCAATGAACTCTATTCGAAAAAATGGACAAATTAGAAATATTCTGATTATATAGAAAATATTTTCATCGGGCTATGTACGATGAGGACTATGTTTCGACCAAGAAGAAGAGTTCAAAATTAAAAAGTGGTGGTGCATAAAGGTATCATAGTCCATAAATAAAAATAAATTTGATGACACTTAATGAAAGTAACAGATAAATAAAGAAGCGTTGTGCATAAATCCACCTTAATTGTCTCCTATTATTAATTAATCATTATAAATTAAGCTCTGTTTACTACTGAACTTAGATGGTGTAAAATCCTCGCGGTGAATTGCATATACCCACATTTTCGATAGCTCCTCGTCCAACGGGAAACTAAAAGCATGAACTTTTGAACCACCCACATAATTCCCCCGACAAAAGGGAACACAACACTTGAAAGGCATTGTTATTTCGCCGATCACAACACAAAATATTTCACAAAACAGTAATTTTTCCGCCAATTATTTTGATGAATAAACAACAAAAGAATTCGGGACCGTTTCAAAAACATACGTGAATCACCGATGAATTAACACGAACTGACGCGTTAGTCGACAAGCGATAAAATAAAACACTGGCCTCTCTTGGTGACGTCACGAGCTCAATCAATAACTGAGATAGCAGAGGGTGTATTCATGAAAAGCAGGACACACTGTATATGGCTATTTCAGAAGATTGTAGTATCTTTCTTGGATATGAAATCATAGATTCTCGTGTTGTTTTTTTATTCACATATTTTTCGAACAGTTTACCTACATTAACCTAAGATTTGATATCAAGAGGTATGAAAATAAATACACTTAACAGTATATAATATACCTACCTATAATACAATATGCCGCGAGTTAACACAGTTGCCTATATATACAATCCTTGGACAATGGGAACGATATTTCCAGGATATTTATATAATATTGTTGGAAATACGATCATCTATGGATTATCGAAGTAATTTGCATCTCACATCACGAGGAAAGACTTCTGGATGCAGAATATATACACAGTAAAAAAAATAGAGTGAAATTTAACACTATACCTGTTCCCAGGAGGACCACTAAGCTTTAGAGTGAATGATTCAACTCTATAGTTTAGTATATTATAGTGTGATTTTATCAATTCAATTAGTGTAAATTTTCAATGCAAGCACATTGAAACTTACTCTATTTATTTCTCTAAATATATTGAATAAACACAAAAATAGAGTTGAAAGAAACAATTCCGAGAGTGAATATTCCACTCAGGACCCAAGCTATAGTGTCAATTTCATCACTTTAGAGTGAAATTCAATAACCGTAGTCACAAAAGTTTAGAGTTGTAATGTAATAGTAGAGAGTAGATTCCACACTATAAACAGTGTCGGATCCACCGGAAATTGATTGAATTATTCACTTTACGTGGATGCCAAATTGCTCCTGCATTGTTCAAATTGACACTACTATTTGTTCAGGTGCTAATAAGGAGTTATCATTTATTCATCATTTTAGATTGAAATAGAACACTAGTTGAGTAAACTAGTCACTACTTCCTGTTGAGTTTTCATCCAAGTTAAATTAACCATTCTTTCACATGTCACAGTATTTATAGGCCCCCGACAGACGTTCGGCGGTGAAGTCTCCGCAGCGCCACCTTTATGCAGTAGCGAGAATTGACGGATGAGAAGTAGTGTGATATTTTAATCGTTTGATATTTGAAAAATGACTCGAGTCCCACTAGACTAATTAGTAAACCTATATCTGTTTCATAAATCGTTCGAAATAATGATTCGAAACGGAAAAAACGTTCATAATGTTGAAAAAAATTTCTCACTACGCGGGTATACTAAAAAAGCTACTTGAGGCTAATATCATGATCATTATATCATCGACACCATAATCTGGATTACTTATTTCACTATCTAGTAGATTGAACGATCTGAAACTGTATAGATTGATATTTCATCGTATATAGATTGAATTGAACAATGATAGAGTGTCAATTTAATCGACAAGGGAGGAATATTCAAGTTCACTAGTGTCAGTAAACACTAGTATGAATTCAATTCCAATTGTTTTTGAATTGAGTTATCTGAATTGATATTTTATTGAAATTTCAGGAATATAGAGTGAATTCAATACGAGAATATTGAAAATTCAATCTAGAATTAGTTTCAAAGGAGATAATCTGCGAGAAGTGTAGTAATAGAGTTGATTGCAGTATTAGAGTGAGTTTGTCAGAGTATTTTAACTCTAAAAACATACTCTACGGATTTCACTCGAAGCGGTTTTTTACTGTGTACCTACTGATTTTAGTGTAAACAATAAGTTATACGAATTGAAGTCGAGAAAAACTTGTATATCAATTTTTAATGTGAAAATCCATAGATATAGACATTATTTACAATACTTTTACCATTTATCGTCGAAAATAATGAGAGTTTTCTTGATAAAAACGCAGCCGAGTTATCAGACATCAATGATATAACAATATTCAGTTAATATTGTAAGCTCGATAGTCTTCGTGAACGAATACGGAAATACACGATTTGCATTCTGCATCCGTATCTGAGTGATATTCTTTCAATTCGAACTAACTGAAAAATTTCACTAAAACTGAACTGAATAAGTTAACATGCGCTCTCTAGGAACAAATAATGATCTAATAGTATTAAACTACCTACATATTATTAGATCATTGGGTAGAATGCATTCAACAGTTTAGTTTGAGTGACATATTTCAGGTAAGTAGTTCAGAGCGAAAGTATATCACTATGGTAAGTGCTTATAGACCGGCAAGTACCTATAGTGGCAGATTTTCGGACGTCACAACTCAAAAATATAAACGAACAAAATACCATCAGGACACAAACACGATCATGAACAATGAAACAATGGAAATAAAAACCATGTTATGAAAACGAACAATAATAAAGGCGTGGCAGATGATGGGCACAAAAATATCTAAGCCTCTCCTGATGGGAGCACACCTAATCAACGACATACGTCTGCGGTTGTAACCAATTTCGATAATCACGGACATTCTTTTCATATCTTGGTTCTACTGCGTCGGCGCATAACCTTAAAGTCATGATCTCCATGGGAGGCGTAAAATATTCACGCGCAGGTAGCTGTATCAGCATTCCATTTGTAGGTTTATCGTTCAGTGGATGAACCTCGCAGCCACAAGCATACCCAGCGAGCACAAAAACATCTCAGAGATGTTAAAAGTACGAGATTTAGAGACATTGAACCTTCACTGCGATGTTCTGTTCACACATGAATAGAACTATTATAGAATTGCCAATGTCCGACGCAGGCGGCAATTATCGAGATGTCCTTGATATGTCACAAAACTACCTTGTCCCTAGTTCTTTTAACTTTTGCATTAGGATTCCATTTCCCTTGAATGAAAAAATGCATTAAAAATAGATTGAACATAAAAATATTTTCTTGATATGAAATTACCTTCTTAATCGGTTTCTGAGTAGTGCTTTACTACACACAGACATATAATTGGAAATAGGTTTCCCAATTTTTGAAATGTTCTCCACAATGCATAATTTTTGCAACTGCGGAGAAGCTGTGTATTGATGAATTCGTACTTTTATATATTGATTACACTGAGGCACCGAACAACACATCTTGCATCTGATGATCATTATTACAAACTAAATAAGTCTTCTAACACAATAATAAACTTCACCAAATTCCTTTCTGTTCGTTAGCAACGTGATGTGAGCGTGACACGCTGCAAACGCGAATGCGAATTGCGAACAAGAAGAACAAAATCGAAAACAAATCAGAATTCATCGTATTGTGACGTAAGCATGAGACGTTGTGGTGGGGCAAACAAAGAAAGGGCACAAAAGAACAAAAACAATACTTCCAATATCCTTCTGAGACCTCTTTGGGAAGTGCATATTACGCCTCAAAAAAACATCCTCATGCCTACAATTTCTAAAACATCCCAAAACATCCCAGGGATACCTCTCAGCAGGCAAACAAAGAAATGCCACAGAAGAACAAAAACAATACTTCAATATCCTTCAAAGACCTCTTTGGTCAGTGCATATTACGTCTCAAAATAACATCTTCATGCCAACATTTTCAAAACATCCCAGGGATGTTTGTGCTCGCTGGGTATAACTTACTAGTAGTTCAGCTCGACTATTATTAAAAAAATCACTTTCAGCAAAGTCGTTAATGAAATCATAGGATTTCAAGGTGCTGCTTCTATTCGAAAATGTAGAACGGTAATATGATTTCTTGTAATGGTAGCAAGAAATATCTCAGCAAAAACTCTAAATAGCACAATTTTCCTCAGTGTACTGATGGCTGAAATCACGTCCGAAAATCTGTAACTACCTACCGGTCTACTAGGCTAGGATGAGCGTTCAGGTTCTTTGAGTTCTGCGGTGAAATGTCAACGAGTGTCGTTCCGCACAGTATCGTTCGAAAGCTTTGGCTGGCTGCCAAGCTTTTCAACTTGAACCGAAGATCGTTTGGGTTCTCCGGTGTCGTGCGGACTTCAGGCAAAGAATAACTGGTTGGATGAACCTTCAGGACTGCACCTCGCACACGAAATAGGTTTCGAAGGAGCAGGGCGAGTCGTTCCACTTGAGGCCTTTGCCGTCCCTGTTCCACAGCTCGAGGCAGTTCTCTTGCTCGCCGTTCTCGTACTCGAAGTTGTTGGGCTCTCCTGCGTTCCAGTTGGTGAAGGTGATTGGTCGGCCGGTGGACATCCAGAAGAAGTTGCCCTCGACGGCTAGGTCGGTGCCCGATGTCCAGAAGTGGTCGTTGCCGAAACCTGAAACGTCATCGTGTTTTCGTTATTTTTTTCCTTTGGCGCCGTATTTACCTTGACAGGGAGGAAAGATTGAAGGGTGGAGACTTTGGTCAACGTTTGAATCATTATAACTTCTGATTTTCAAAAGCGATTTTCGAATTTTCTTTCCAGTTCCTGATTTTTTTTTTCATGTTCTGGGTCTTACGAAAATGGTTATCCTGTAATGTTCAGAGAACATCGTGAGAACCAAGGAAATTGAGGTAGGAATTGGTGTTCTCCTTAAATTTCTGGAGGTTATATGCCTCGGGGAACACCTCCCTTGGCAATGTATTCCAGAGCCTCGCTGTTCGTTGGATGAACGAGTCTTTGGAAAGAGATGTTCTGCAGGTCTCCAAAGTGACCACGAAGGGGTGCGGAGCCTCAACTCGACGGGTTATTCTCGCGGGGACTGCCAAGGAAGGAACAATTGTTGATATTTCAGAAGAGCATCGTCAATGAAAATATCAATAAAATAGAGCCAGATCGCCTACTCTTCTACGGTGTTCCAGAGAAGTGAGTGAGTTTGTGAGTGAGGCATCACCTACGAGACGAATTCCCCTTTTTTTGGACAGAATCCAACAGTTTCAGGGTATGTTTGGGTGCCGCACTCCAAATATGGGAACAGTATTCCAGGACAGGTCGGATCTGTGCCTTATAAATCATAAGCAGCTGACTGGGAGTGAAATAGCTCCTGGTCCGAAACAGAAAACCAAGTTTTGGGATGCACTTTTAGCAATTGATCTCAAGAAAGGTTATTGCTGATAGTAATACCAATACCAAGCATCGAAATGGATATCTTCAAAGGTATAATTGCTCTTGACATGCTTTTGTTTGGCACAGTGAGATCGGCTTTTCTAGAGAAAAGGCATGCTTGTGTTTTGTTTGCATTGAAATCTATCAAGTTATTGGATCCCCACTCGAGAATTGTTGCCAAGAAAGGGTAGGGAGGCCACGGTTGTGTTTTCCATTTGTATTCATCAGAGTTTTTTCTCTGAATAGAGACTGTGTTTTCTTTGAATTCAGACTGTTCTTTCTTTGAATTCAGACTTTTTTATTCCAATTCAGACATGTTCTTTTGAATTTGGTCTCTTCTTTACTTTTTCTCAAAGTTCAGACTTTTTTCTCTGAATTAAGAATTTATTCTTAAATTCAGACTTTCTTCTCTGAATTCAGACTTTTTTCTCTGAATTCAGACTTTTTCTTCGAATTCAGACTTTTTACTTTGAATTAATACTTCTATTTCTGAACCCAGACTATTTTTTTTATGAGTTCAGGCTTTTTTCTCAGAGTTCAGACTCTCTTCTCTGAATTCAGACTGTTTTCTCCGAATTCAGACTTTTTCTGCGAATTCAGACTTCTTGTTTCACTGAACTCAGACTTTTTCTGTCAATTTAGACTTTTTTTCTGAATTCGAACTTTTTTCTCCGAATTCAGTCATTTTTCTGAATTCAGACTTCTTATTGTATATGTGTATGTGTATACAGGATGCTCCGAAAATTCACGACTGGAAATCACGCGCCCGTATTCCTAGCAGAAGAAACAAAGGTTCCTACTTACAGAAGGAACCCTTCGTTTCCGTTATATACAAGGAGCAACTCATGAAACATATTTTGTTTGATAATTAATATTGTTAAACTGTAATGGGATTATTCCTTTATGATCACACCAGGATCGATACTAAAAAACAATATCAGTACCTATAGAAATATCACAGCAGTTCAGTTCAGTTCATCTGAAATAATGAAAAAACTCTTTGATATTACATTCATGACAAATTGTCACTTATAATATCACGAGAGCATCAATTATTCCCGGAAATTTTTTTCTAGAACACGAATTTTCAAAATATTCGTGTTCTAGAAAAAATTCCGTGGTATTCGGTACGAAAATTTCACACTAAAATATTATATTGCAAGTATGCCTACATAATAGTATATGGTAAACTGTTGATAAATAAGAAAGTTGAATGTTAATGTCATTCAACTTAAAAACGTCAAAAAATTTCCAGTGTAATGTCATGCTCCGTCCCCCAAGAAGGAGGAAAAAATTTCCAAGAAATTAGTTTAGTTGCTATATGGTAACGATACGAAATACAGGCTTTGAATTGGTCGAAAATGTTTGGTGTGAAATTTTCAAGAAATATTGCTATAACGTACCATGCCTTCATCAAAGCTACTAAATCGAGCACTAAATTTAACGACGGTTATTAAACAAAATCTGTTTGCGAAGTTGTGCACCCTGTATATAAATCTGAGTGTTTTCCAACAAAATATGTTAGTAGGAACATTCCATTTTTCATGTAGGAATACACTCTCGTAATTTTCTGCTGTTTTTGAAACACCCTTTCTACACATGTTATAGAAAAGTCTGAAATCAGAAACAATGTCTGGAATCAACGAACAAAGTTCAAATTTGAACACAATGAATATCAACAGAACATATTATACATTTTCAAAATCAGGATAAACAGACCTCCCGATCAGGGTCTTCGTTCAAGAATATGAGCGTTGTTTTCAGGTTTGTCAATATTGTGGAAATTCATCAACTCTACTTTTGTTGCATAATCATGCATAACTAGTCGTGGACACCCTTCATTCATCGAAATTATCCATTGATTGTACAGGAAGAATGAGAAAAATCTACCGATTTTCCTTAGTTTTTGATTGTTTTTCATATTTTCTCATCGTTCCGTGGTTAGGTATATGATTCTGCCACGATACTCACCGAAGTCTTTGATGTATTTTTCTAGTTTATCGTTTTCTTCTTGGGATGTGATGCTGGCTAAGTGCATACCGTGAAATCTGCAATACTGCGTTGCTCGATAGTAGTTCGCCTACAGAAAAATAATTACAATCAGAGACATCCTTTTTACCTTCAAATGAACATGTCCAACATATCATAATATATTATCACTTCTAACAATGTATCTAACATTTTATCTAATAGTAGGTGGGGTGATTTTTCAGATTAGGTGTTAGTGTAAATGTCATCAATTTCATTTTCGCGACAGATTCATATAATACCTACTTATACTTACACAGCAAATAAATGATATTCTGAACCATATTAATTGAGTCACTCATTTGAATAATTGAAACATCCTATCTATATAAGAAAAAATATTTCATTGTTTGTTCGTTTGTTTGTTTGTATGTATGTATTGAATATTGAATAGGCTCCGAAACTACTGGATCGATTTGGCTGAAAATTGGTGGGGAGGTAGCTTAAAACTAGGAGAAGGTCATAGTATAATTTTTATCCCGGTACCATTAGGAACTTCTAGATGGCGGATCAAATATATATTGGACGAGTTTTGTAATTATGGTCCGATTCTATTCAGAATTGGTATCTGGGGTTTTTGGGGTCGGAAATTATGATTCTCTCGTCAAAATTTAAAAATTCGGGCGGAATTTGGAAAAAACTATGATTCCTTCGTCAAAATTAGGGAATTCAAGATGGAAGATCCAATATTGCGGACGAGTTTTGTAATTATGTTCCGATTCTATTAAAAATTTTCATCTGGGGTTCTGGGAGTCGGATATTATGATTCTTTTGTCAAAATTGGGACATTCAAGTGAGCTAAGAAGAAGAATAAATGGTAGATTGAAGAACCAAAGAAGCACGCTTTTATAGATATAGCGAAAATAAAAAGGAGTAGAAAATAAAATAATAATAGTGTCTTGATGAAGTTTGAACGAAAAAATATATTATAGAAATAATTTATATAGCAAAACAACGTTTGCGAGGTCTGCTAGTTTCATATATTTGAATTTTTTTTTTGAAATGAAGCACTTCATCTTCCTATAACAATCATTGATGTAATCGGTTTATTTCTTGACTGAATACTCACCTTGAAGAATATTCCTAGATAGTATCGTTTTTCTCCCAACTTCAAAAGTGGCATCGTCCATCTATTCGGCGTTGGTAGGGAATCATCTATACAATTTGGGCAATCTGTAACAAATCAATACAAAAATCAATCTAGAAATTGAATTGAATGCATGAGATCTTCATGACAGATGCCTCGGCTGATACAAATGATTTATTTTTGGAAATGACAGTAACAAAACGATGAATCTTAAAATCCGTTGATTTTTATGAACCCTTCAATATTTTATATAACTTTCTGATGTTGATACATAATAATGTTTATACAGGGTGTATCTGAATAACACCGAAAAAAATCAAGGGGTGATTCCTTGTGATATTTTAGTAAATGTGTCCTTACTTGCTTTGTTTTCGAGATACAGGGTATTAATATTTCCATGAAAAATCTTTTTTCTATTCATATTCCAATTGTCTTTTCATCAATTTCAATAAAACGTTGTAGTTTTGTTGATAGTGATATGGAGCTTCATCTAGTACAATTAGATTTGGAATAATATTCCCAGTGGCGTCACAGTGGGTAAATTTATCGATATTCATAGTGAATGTCATTGTACACCATCGGTTTTTCATATTTTTTTAGATTGAGCTATTGAAATAACAACTATTGTATCCTCTGTGTGATTTTTATATCTAGCTTAGTTTTTGAGGAAACAATAAGAATTCGACTCAACATTTTAATGTTGGTGTTTTCAAGACTTCCATCGAGATTACTCAATAACCCCAATTGGAATCAATTTGAAATTCTGGGGTTTTCTCAATCTCTATCCATACTCAATTTTGACTGAAAGCTTATACAGGGAGGTTATATGAATACAGACAATTGATACTTCCAACTTCAACATCCTGTACCTCAAAACGGAACAAGTTAGCTAGAATGTCACATGGAAACACCCCTTGAATTTTCTCGGTGTTATTTAGATACACCCTGTATATTCTTCTGGTAATCCTGAACTGTGAATTATTCCGAAGTTATACCTACTCTCTTCTTGCGAAAGTTTTAGGAATTAGGGATATGGTATTGTGGAATTTCCGGGAATTTCTATTCACGCTAATTTTAATCAATAGTGATGAGTACAATGGAAGGTTATATAGAGTTGTTTGATTCGAGAAGATCCATACTTTCGGAATTGTGGTCATCAGAGCGGATATGTTGATATATGTAGCAATATGTTTAATTTATTGAAATGACTAATAAATAGTTTCTGAAATACCTATACTACCTATATAACATCAAGCCGATTTTTTTAAATACTGGTTTCATGTGTCCAATGCGAAATGAAGGTCAACATCTTATTATATTCGGGTTTTTAACGATGAAAACGGCCCAGGAGATTGTTGAGATACAAAAATAGTTATTTATTATACAAGGGAAAAGAGTAGTAGTAGATAAGAGCTCCAGGTTGTGTTGTCAAAAAGACAACAAAAAACCGTGAGCTAAAATCTAATATTTTTCCCGTGTATAATACACTATTTTTTTCCTGTGACAGAAGAAAGGACGAATCAATATTGAGAAGATATCACATTTTTTTGAAGTCTGAAAATTATCGACGTGAAATTTTAAGTTTTCAACAGTAGGGACACCTCCATTGTAGGCATCTTTATCATTCTTCTGAAGTAATCAAATATCTGATGTCACTTCTGTCAGTCTAATTCTGTGATTTGATTTCAAAAAATTGCGTATTTAGTTTAGGTTGTTTAGTAATATACGTAACCGCGAAGTGGAAGATAAAAGGACTTGCAGTTCTTTCTCGGAGACGGTATTATTGACTCATTTTTCGGAACTATAGCACAACAAAAGCCATCAACAGTGTATATATATGTGATATATATCCGGGAAAAAAGTACTCACCTTTTTCCTCGCTTTTTTCCCGCTGGAAAGTAATTTATGAAAAGTGACATTTTAAAACCTGCCAACAGAGATGAAATGCCAAACTTTTTTCCCGTCACAGAAAAAACGATATTTGATTCTTAGTTGGGCTAATGAAACTCCTGCTTCTTCAAATGCATATGAAAATAAAACACACGTACCTACTGCCTTTAATTAGCAGCCTCTTATATGTGTGAATAAAATTGCAATAAGACAATGAAAATAATTCTTCTTCTTCAATTTTCAATTCAATCAATTCAATTCAATTTTTTATTGATCCATTAAAACGAGCTTAAAAAGCAATTGGACAAGTCAGTACATATCAAATACAGATATAAAATACAAGTATATAACAAACACATTCGTAAATTATTAAATTAAAACAATCAAGTGAGCGAACAAAGCAGCAACGATGAAAAATAATACAAAACATTTTTACTAATGTAGGTGGGAAAAAAACTCTTCGATTGTATAGGGGCTAATTTCAAGAAGTAGTTGTTTTATTTTATGTTTGAATACTTGTTCCTTGGTTATGATTTTGAAAAACTCCGGAAGTGCATTGTATAATCTCAGCCCCAAAATCTCAAACGATTTCAGACGTAGAGATAAACGTGTTTTGGGTATGTGAAAATCATTTCTGATACGTGTGTTATATTCATGAAAAGATTGGTTTTGTTTAAAAACTTCTTTATTTTTATGGATGTACAACAAAACTTCCAGAATGTAGAGACCTGGTAGAGGCAAAATGTTGAATTTTTTAAATAGTGTTCTACACGATGATGTTTGTGACGCGTTTGCAATGGTTCTGATAATTCTCTTTTGCGTTACAAAAACATTGTGTGCAGGTGGAGAATTTCCCCAAACAATAATCCCATAGTTAATTCTTGATTGTATCTGCCCGTGGTAATATAAAAGTAGACCAGATTTGTCTAGAATTCTTTTCAGGTTTCTTAGCAGATAACACTGCTTATTGAGTATTTTAATGAGATTATCGCAGTGCTGACGGAAATTGAGATTGCTGTCTAGATAAAGCCCTAAAAATTTTATACTGTCAACTCTTTCTATCTCAACATCGGATATTTCAATATTAAAGTCCACCGTGTTGGTATTTTGGGCAGTATGGAAAGCTACTGCTTTCGTTTTGGAGGCATTCAAAAATAATGAGTTTTCACTAAACCAATTTTGCAAGCTATCAAGATCAGAATTTATATTTTGTTGCAATTCAGACAAATATTTTGATTTAAATAGGAGGGAAGAATCATCAGCATACAAACAAGTGAGTGACTTTGGCAAAACAGATGGCAACTCATTGATATAGAGAATAAAAAGGATTGGCCCCAAAACAGATCCTTGGGGAACACCTATGTCATTATTTAACTGATCAGAAAAAAAAGTTTCGTTGTAATTCTCATTCGAATATTGTATTTTGACAGCCTGGGTGCGATTTGAAAGATATGATACGAACCATTCATGCTGAATACCTCTAATACCAGTTTTGTACAGTTTGTCCAGGAGATTTCCGTGTTGTACGCAGTCGAAGGCGCGGCTGAGGTCACAAAAAATCCCAGTGGGATTTTCGCCTGCTTCAACAGCCTGTAGAAGATTCGAATAAAAAGAAATAATTGCCGTTGTAGTGGAATGATTCGATCGAAATCCGTGTTGGTTCGGAGTTAGAATGTTATTTATATTCAGAAAGTTATGTAGAAATTCCAACATTACGTATTCGAATACTTTTGAGAGTGATGGGGAAACAGCAATAGGACGATAATTTTCCAAATTATGAGAATTTCCTTTTTTCAGGATTGGAGAGACTATAGAATGTTTCAGTCGCGAAGGAAACTGTCCTTGCTGAAAAGATATATTTATAATGTGACTTAGGGGCGCTATGATGTAGGGTGCAATCTTTTTAATCACATACCCAGAGATGCCATCTGATCCACACGAATGTTTATTTTTGATTTTGTCCCTGATAACCTTCAGTATATCATCTTCACTGACATATGTAATGAACATACTATTCTCAATACTCGGTAGCAAATTAGTCCTCAAGGGGTTAATATTTTTAGTTTTATTTATTTTGTCAACAATATCATGTGGTGTATTCACAAAAAAGTTATTAAAAATATTAGCGATATCAAGTGGATCTTCTACAAGACCATCATTACTATCTATAGTTATATTACTTTTCTTCGTGGTTTTTCCTGTTAACTCGTTAACAACAGACCACGTGTTCTTATTTACATTACCTGAAGAGTAAATTTTATTTTGATAATATATACTTTTGTTTTTTCTTACCAGAGTTTTATGTTGCTTTTTTTGTGTTTGGTAGAATTCTTTCAGGGTGGGATTAGTCTTCACCTGCTGATAAAGTTCTTTAAGATTTTTACTTGACATTTTAATTTCAGTGCTAACCCATTCAGTTCCAGGATTTTTATTTTGGTGTTTTCTGATAGGTTTTATTGGGCATTCACAATTAAAATAAAATAAGAGAGTATCATGAAAACTGTTGAACTTATCGTCTAGATTATCTAGTTGATACATTTCTGACCAGCTCTCTTTTTCTAAAGCATTAGACAAGTTTTTAATGTTAGTGTCATTTATTATTCTCCTATGATTATATGAAGATCTTTCATCAGTTCGATGTTGCTTCGTTGAGAAGAGGACAGTTTGGTGAGAAGATATACAGTTTTCGAGTACACCCCATTCGTTGGTCTCTGGTAGGTTAGTGTATATTTGATCGAGCGTCGTTTGACAAGTCTGGCTGATTCTAGTAGGTTTGGTTATTCTGGGGCTGAGACCATATGATATCAATAATTGTGTAAAGCGATTTGAATTGGTATAACTCATCGAATGGTAGTTGAAATCTCCATTTAATATTATGACTGTTTTAGGAACAAATATTTTGTCAAGAATTATTGAGATTTTCTCAAAAAATATTTCGAAGTTTCCTGATGGAGAGCGGTAACAAGTCAAAATGAGAATATTAGTATTATTATTTTTCCACAGGACACCACAAATCTCAATGTTTTTTTCAAAACAGTACTCTTGTAAATTCAACGGAGTTACATCTACATCGGTCTGGGACCATATACCAACTCCACCACCTATACAATTGATTCTGTGATATGAGTTAGAAAGAGTGAAGTCTCCGAGTCTTTCTCTAATATTCTTGTGAAAGGGTGATCTTGAAAATTCTGTA